TCAAAAGCGGAAATTTAGTTACAAGAATATTCCTCAAATCAATTTCTGTCGGAACAGCAACCTTGATTAGTTCCCACAACCTTAAACCTATTAAATCAGGTATAGTATCTTTCGAGGAATCGCCAGATATTCTTATAGTTGAAATTAATTGAAAGCCATTTTTGGCTTTAATTATTTCGCCTCTGGAAGGAATTGTTAATTCTCTCTTCTCCAATAATGTTAGTAAAACCGACAATACTTCGGTTGGAGCTTTGTCAATATCTTCAATTAAAACCCATTTACCTTCTTGAACTGCAGTAGTTAAAACACCAGATCTCCATTGGAAGGTACCGGGTTTTTCTCCAGAAGTATAAGTACCTAGCAATAACTTAGCATCAGTTTGTTCACCTAAGTGGATTTTAACAATTGAATCCTCATACGACATATATTGCGCAACTTGATTAATAAGATAAGTTTTGCCAGCGCCACTTCTGCCATAGAGCATAACCGATTTATTATTTTGAATATTATGAGCTAATTGTCTTAATACGTGAATTGAGTTTTCAGTTGGAACGAGGTCTGTTGACTTTAACTTATTTTGACATGTTTTTTCATCTTTGCTAATTAAATTTGGAACTAATATACCACAAATAGACGTAACTAGTGGATTTAAATCTTTTGGTTCCACAGCAAGAAATTTATCTGACTTTCCAGAATCAACATCTTTTGGCAACTTCGTAAAATTTGACAATCTTTTAGCTTCGATCAAATGCAAGAACCTATAATCAATAGACGGGTCTGACTCATAAGAGCCTTTTAAGGAATCTTTAAGTCCGATATGGCTATTCAACATCTCAATTTGCGATTTTTCAGAAGCATTCAAATATCTGCACAAAATTTGGATAGCTAGATACTTGGAGACATTATACTGGGTAGCTTCAATTTTCATGATCGCATATAATGCATTTGGAGTAATATATTGTTTAAATCTGCCAATATTCCAATAAATTAATCTATAAAATGCTAGCAAGATATGCTCTAATTCTTCGTGATGTACGGTTGGTATTGATGTATTGGAAATGTTCATCAAACTCGAAAAGAAATCGACTTTAGTTATAAAGTATTCAATCAAATTCAAAGACTCATTGCATAATCCAATCAACCTAGATAATGCAGAAAGTATAACTGAACCTGAAATTTGATTAGTTTCACCATTCATATGAGTTCTATTATATTCAAATTCAACATTTGTAGGGTTACTAATCCATCTTGACATTAAATCAAGAAAAATTGGTTCAAATGAGTAAAATATTGGGATTGTAGTAGATGGATGCAATGCAAATAATGATAAGTTATTTAAATTTTCATTAATGGTTAATGTCTTGTCAAGCTTAATGATTTTTGGAATATTCTTCAATGAATTATGATCTTTAAAAATCTGGTACAACGACTCAGATTTTTGTATATTTACAACTATATTATTATTCATATTGACCATTTGGGGGTTTCAATAAGATAATACAGATAATATTATTTTGTAATATAATCAGAATCGAAGTAGTTCTGCAGTATTTACTTAAGTGGAAAAAAAAAGTCTACGAGGGTCGATGCGATGAGATTCTTTTATATGAAGGATTGACTTAGTCTGCAAATTATTAGGAAGACATTCCCAATCTTTCTACTCATACCTCTTCTGATACCTGAAAATGCATTAGTTAATACTGCCAGAGGAATCGTATTGATTTGTTTTTCCTTGCAAGAATTTTGTAAGAATTCTCTTTGCAGACCTAGTGTAATTCTATTCACCAAGTAATACATGTTCTTAGGCCGCAAACGTATTATATTGTTAGAACAACTGACGAAGAAAACGGATAATTCTATTCTGTATGATTAAGTAGTATTCAATTAATAATGTAACCCCTTTAAAAGCCATATACGGTTAACATGTTATAAGTAGTTAAAAATTAAAAAAAAATTAGGACTCCTCATCAGGGGCTCGAACCCTGGACATTTCGGTCGACTCTTTTGACAGAAATCTTTAATCCTTAAAAGCCGAACGCTCTACCAACTGAGCTAATAAGGATTGTCCTTATCCAAATCAGGCACAACAATCGATTACATATATTTGTCCAATGCTTTCTAATTTTCAACTTAATCATGGACTAATTTATTCTTATCCAAGAATATACTACAATGAAGTAACAAACTTATGGCTCTGAAAATCACCATAAATTAATGAATTTTAAAATTTTAAAATTAAATGAATAAATATACACAAATTCTAAAAACTTACATAACATATATGAAATTAGATTACAGTAAAATCAAAGAGCCTAAATAATTATAATTATAATAAAATTAAATTAATAATATATTTACTTATTAAGGTTACACATATACAAAGCTAATTAGGCTTTAGGTAGCTTTTAGTAAAAAAAAAAATTGTTTCGTTTTTGGGTGCAAAAAGAAAATCGATCTTATTTCTGTGGTTGATCTATTTTACAATTCATAATTAAATTATATCTACAAACTAAAAAGCTACATTGTACAATTCAGGACAATGTATAGACTCCAAACGTATTTAATTGTTTCCTTTATCATTGGGTTGGCTCTTAGCATTAGTATTGCAGAAGAAAGTCAATCAATTTCGACTAATATTCTTTCATTGAAAGGTAAGTAAAAATATCACAAGAACAGAAATATTGAATTATTCTAACTAATAATAGCTATTAATGAAAAACATCTAAAGGGATTCTCTAATCCTTCTAATCTGTCGAATAGCGAAGATATCGAAGATTCATACGACAATCATAATCCTGATGAAAAGATTCCTGATAAATGTTCTAAAGAAATTAATCATATCGAAAGTTCAGCAGATATGAATATGATTAGAGATTGCAAAATTATTACCGGTGATATTGTTATCAATGACTATAAGGAACCTATTATTGAGTTCGGTGATATTATGAATATATTCGGAAATTTAGATATACAACGTGCTTCAAGCTTGGTTAGAATTGAAGCAGACAATGTCCATAGAATCGGAAATAGGTTCATATTGAAAGATTTAACTTCACTCAACTCAATTTCTTTCGCATCATTGCGGTATGTCAAAATTGTTGATTGGAAAGTGTTACCCATATTGAATGTTGCCCACTTCGGGAATGCAATAAAAGAAACTGAGAGTGTAACTGTTTCTGACACCTCACTAGTTGAATTTCCTGGATTCTTATCTAATAAGTTAGAAATATTAGATATAAATAATAATCGATATCTAGAATCTATTTATTGCAATGTTGAAAAAATTACTGGAAGATTACACATAGCTGCCAACTCAAGAGACGTTCGAGTTTCATTACCCAAATTACAGTCTGCTAAAAACGTAAGCATTCATGAGGTTTTAGATCTTGATTTGAATAATCTTGAAGAAATTGAGTCATCCATTAACTTTGTTAATAACCTTTTTATCAATTTAAGCTTGCCCGTCCTTAAATCTATCGGGGGTACTTTGAGTTTATTGAAGAATGAGAATCTTGGTAAGGTTGAATTTCCAAATGTAACAGAAATTGGGGGTGGATTAATGATCGTTAATAACACCAAAATTGATAGAATTAATTTTTACCCTAAACTAACAATTATAGGTGGAGCCATTGAACTAGTAGGTAATATTAAAGAAACAAACTTGAAGAATTTAAAATTAGTTAAAGGAAGTGCAAAAATAAAGTCCTCTGATAGTTCATTTGATTGCACTAAATGGACCAAAAGTGAACTTAGTTCAGTAATCAGAGGAGGTAAAATTGAATGTATTAATGCCAACAACGAAAGAATAACCGCCGATACTCCGACAGAAGGGGGAAATAACGACACCTCAGATAATGACGAGTACAGCGTAAAACTAGCTTCGAAAGGTGTAAACTTGAATGCAACAGCGAATTTGAAATATATTTTACTCTTATTCATTTTGATGCTTATCACTTAGACAAGGATTTATTATGATCCTTTGATCAATTTAATTCTTTGTCTTCACTACTAATATCTTGCTATATCCAATCAGACAAAGATTATATTCACTTTTTTTCAAGAACCTAGATGTTAGTCTTTATAGATATGTTCATTTACTATATAATTTTTAATATCAGGAGTCACCTTATAAAACCATTCCTTATTATCATTAAGAATATTGGACCTTATACTTGATGAGCTTATCTTACTCAATTCCAATGATTCATTGTGAGTTAAATGGATGTTAGAAGACCAGTGTTTGGGAATGTATTGTATATTACCATTGGAAATAGAGTCCAAATAGTCAAATTGTTTCTCTAAGGATATAGAATCATCAGATCGAGTGAGGCAGAAAAGATCTGAAGTTTCGAAAAATTCAGCCAATGCTGTTGCCAAGTTATCAGGGTGATAATATTTAGGGTCTAAAATTCTAATCAAAGTATCATATCCAACTAAGAATGATAATCGAATATTAGACATTGGAAGTTGTTTGTTATTCTTCATATAGGAACAAATGGCTTCTGATTTCTCGACAAACTTAGCATGATTGGTGAGACCCACTTTAACATCTACCTTCAACGATTCATTGATATGGTCGGCTAATTTAAACATCATTTCAATCCTATGATCAAACGATGCCGGCTGAGGAGTTAGCTTATCAGCATTATTAACTGATAAGAGAAGTAAAACTATCTTATCATCTGATGGTGGCTCATTATAGTTATAAATTAGTGATTCTCTAACTAATGAATAATGTCCTAAATGTGGAGGATTAAACGATGAATCAAGCACACAAATACGTTTAACTGTCTTTGATAATACATTCGATGGAGTGCTGTAAATAATTCTAAAAGCCGATTTACTATTTATAAATTCTTGTAATAATTTTGACATAGTTCATCAGATTATATTGATAAATAATTCGGTGAGATTCAAATTTAAACAACGCTGATCATATTAAGAATACGCTTATATTTAAAATTTTATTATACAATTTTCTTTTTAAAGCTATAGATCATTTAAAGCTCATCATGTTTACTAGAGCCAGCAATATCAACTAACTCAGCAACAAAAACTGAATTTCGTTAGTACTCTAATAGAAATTAAATATATAAATTTAGACGTAAAATAAAACATACCAAGAGTTGCCTTTGCAGGAATAGGACCAACACCTCTATCTCCGTAAGCTAAATGAGAAGGAATAGTCAATTTTCTTTTTTCACCAATACACATTCTAGTCAAACCTTGATCCCAACCTTGGATTACTTGACCAATGCCCAACTGGAAGGAAATTGGCTGTCCTCTCGAATACGATGAATCAAAGACAGTCCCATCCTCTAATTTACCTTCATAGTGAACGCTAATAAGATCACCAGGCTTTGATTTAACCTTGCACTTGTCGTCAGATACTGAGGTCAAGATTCCTATCATGTTAGTATACGTTCAAAGAATTAATACATTTGTATTCCACATACCGATCTGGAGTTCAGATGCAAAAGCAATTGTTGTAAGAAAGAGTAAAAAGAGAGATTTCAATAACATGGTTCCCTATAATGAAGAGAAAGATCCTTTTACTTGTTTGGCAATATTGAAAATTGAAAAATTTAGTCGCAACGAAGCAGAAAATTGCTATCGTTTAAAGTCAATAAAAGGGCTTAAATCGCCTATATGAATGGAGATCTACGAAAGCGAATCATATGATAATAATCTATTGTACAAGTATATAACTAACCAAACTAAATATTTTCAAAGTAATTTTATACAAAATTTATACCCTTCGTAAATTAAACCCCATAAACCAAACACATAAAGCAAACAAATAATAAAAATATTAATTTACAAAACAACGACCATCTTCTAACTCATCGATGGTCGATTCAATAATTTCGTCATCATCATCGTCTTCAACCAATTCAATAGTAGCGTACTTAATCATGTCCCATCTTTTCCAGAACGAAACCACATCAGTTAAATCATCGGAATCAACAAGATCTTGCAAAAAGTACTTCGCTTTGGTAAGACGATCCTTCAACGCTTGTAAGGAAGAAGAATTCGTTTTGTCACCCGTGGATACGGATGATTTGTGTGACTTTGAAATTTCGAAGTCACTTTCGTAATCGGTAATATCAGTAGTATTACCAAGATAATCTTCATCGTCAGTTGCAATTGACGAAGGAGTATTGTATCCATAAACTTCATCCTCAACAGACGTAGTTACGTCGCAATACCTTGCCCATGCTTCGTCAATGGCACCAACCAAATACTCGAAACAACGAGAGCGTGATGTCTTATCATCATCAGAAATAACCTTCTTGTCCAGATCTGACGATGTACTCATCTTTCTGGTGTTGTTAATGAGAGTACATCCGCTAGCGGACGTGCTATCATGTGCGTCGTTAGCCTCGTCATCATCGCTGTACTTCGAAACTGCTCTGCACAACTCCGAGTCCATACAGAAGGAAACCCTTGTCGATGCTCTTCTCTTGGCCTTCACTTGGTCAGCGTTGTAGCATGACTGCTCGTCTGATGAATCATCATTCTGATCGTCCGATGACGAGTAGCAAGCGATTGACGAAGGTAAAAGACTCCCACATACCCTCTTCGAAATAGCAGGACCTTGGAATGAGCTGCGACGCTTCGTGGTTTTGTTGTTGAACACTGGTGAACATAAAGCCATATTAATTCTTGATGTCCTGTAGTTATAATGTAGATTGGTATGTCGATTATATAATTATGCCGTAATCAAGTGCGAAATCAAAAGTCGTGTGATTACCTCAAATATATAAAAACAGCACAAATTTTTTTAAGTACCAGCAATGCACAAACTCTAAAAACGTTTGGTACTAATGTGCCGGCAAATAAAATGTTCTCCCTGAACGTACCAATAAAGGTGTCAGCAAACAAATGGGCGGCTAGATGAAACTAAAGATTCTGAAAAAGCCTGTTGATCAATCTATCAATAATATACGTATACAATACTGTTATATTATTTAATAGATGAAAAAATAGTATAGGTTAATTTAAATAATATGTTATATATTAAGTATACCTATAATAAAGGGGGTTTTGAAATGTGTGAACAAGAACTAAAAATGAAAATTAAATCCGGATTTCTGAATGACTTTAATGTAATGACCAAAATTCAGGAATCAGCAATTTATTTATGACCGACATGGAACGAAGACCGGGTAATAATTTTACGGTTACCCGCAGATAAATTTGGATTGTGATTGGTCAGACATGCACAAGGCCTGCTCAAATAGGAGATGTTTCATTTTTCATACCTTAACGGGACAAATATTACATAATCTGCGTTCGGTAGACTTGCTAATTCAGAAAAGTAAAAATATTACAACCAAACACCAAGAACATCACCAGTAGTGAGTGATTAATAGGAATTCATTTGGATTAGACAGGTACTATGATCGGCGGCGGCTGTATCGCTAGTGCAAGAGAATAAAGGATACTGCGGCTTAGTAATTACAGTAGTTGAATAGAAAATTGTCGTATTAAAATAGTCAGTAGTGAATGTATTGCAGCATACATTTTGCTGCGAATATTATGTGCAACTGTCGAGATAAGCCTGGGAAATCAAAATTCATCTAAGAACTTCTCGGCGATCTTCAACATCGATAAGGAATTGTTGGAACTAGCAGATTGTACAGGAGCCCTTGAATTGGAGTTGGAATTGGAGTCAGAATTGGAATTGAACGAATAGCTGGATGCTGAAGATAGAGGAGCCGCTGGATTCGAAAAGAATTTTGAATACCTAGGATCGGACTTTTTGTCGGTGGTGGAATCTTTGCCCATGTATTTGAGGAGGATATATTCAGCCATGGCTTTTCTCCACGATGAATCGGTAGACTGGTTTCCTAATTGCTGGGTGAAATAACCGTCGGAAGATGTCATTTCGTCATACAATTGGTTTAGTTGCAACTGGTTCTCGTGCGTGCCTTTTGCATATCCATATTGATTGCTGACAATCTTATCATCGTTCAAATGCGATTCCAATGATCTCATAATTTTGATTATGAATGACAAGAACTTATTGGCATTCTTACTATTGACAATAAATATCTGGTTGTTTATGAATCTTTGGTACAATATCTTGCTTAATGGGATGGTTAGCTTTAAGCCCATGAATAGCAATTTAATTGATATAATAATACACAGTTGCAATTTATCAATTAGTAAGTCGTTTTCAGTTTTATCATTTGTAGTATCGTCGCACATATCTTCATCAACAGGCATAAATCTGTTCCTACTAGTTGCGGATATTCCTTCTTCATCGTAACATAACTCTTCCCTTAATTGCGTAAATAATTCAACCTTCGTATCATAATCCAATGATACTAAAAGTGAATCAACCGGTGACTTATTGTCTATTGTTCTTACAATTTGGTCGATTTCGGTACTGGCAGCATCATAAGACTCTTTCGATATTGACTCGAGATCCAGTCTTTTGTCAGATACTTCCGAGTCTTCCTTCTTAAACGGAGTAAAATGCAATACGTTATTACAAGCTATGCCAATAATGTTTGAAATGTCCATAAGCTTGTCCAGGAGCTTGTAATCATATACATCCAACAAACCAATAACGTTCCTCTTCAAATCGCTCGACGTATCTTGTAATACAACATCAAGGTTCTTGTCTACTAACTCGTCAAATTTTTTATTTTGCTCGTTAAGATATCTTTCTATTCTTATTGTCTTCATATCACAATCTTCATTCTTCTCTTCCACGGTACTGAGCATTGTAGATTGCCCATATTTATTTTCTGGGCTATATAATTTACCCAGATTAAGCAGTGATTGAATGAGTGTCTCACTAGTGTCACTGTCATTGCTCCTTACTTTATCAGATGTTTCCTTGTTTTTTAATGTGTTAATCGGAGACGTTTCAATCGAGAAATCATCAAAAGTATCGCAGTAATTCAAACAACTCAATTCCAAAGCAGGGCCCACCCTATTATTCTTACTCATTTCTTCCGATCGATTACTTATTATTCTATTATGAATCGTATCTCGAGGCGAACGTTCTGCAACGGTTGATATTCCAAGTGCTGATAACGGCTCATCTATTCTTTCATCATTCTCGTGTCCAATTAAAGACGTGGGGATATATCCAGAATACGGAATTTTCCGTACCACCTTGCCTAATATTTCTCTCACGACCATATTAAATGATATATGCCAATACGATTATTCTACGTGTTGTAGAACACTATTCCAAAAGTGTTACTTAATTTAATTAGTGTGATAAATATATTTTTAAGGCTTTATATAAAATCACATGCTCACGCAGCAATCATTTGCAACTATATCAAGGATTGGAAGAGTTTATGATGGGAATAATTTGTATTCTTTCAATTGAAGATCAATATTAACATGTCATCGTTTGTAATCAAGTATATTACGAATAGGATATTCAAAGATAACCAGTGGACTAGATTTGGGGTGGAAGATCCATATTATGAATATGTACCAATCGATGTAGAGAATGAAAAAGTGAAGTATAAGAAAACTCCTAGGAGAGTGCCAGATGGATTATCCAAAAATGATGAAACAATATTGCATAAAGTGAAGAAAAAGGCGTATAGGTATGATATGTGGTTTTCTTTTTTGGGTATCAAGTTTGGATTTACTAATATTGTTGGAATAATTCCCATTGCTGGAACCCTTGTTTCGACGTATTGGTCGTTGACACTTTTGCAGACGGCAAGACAATTGGATGATGGATTGCCTTTGGACTTGCAACTATTATTCTTGTTAAATATTGTGATTGACTTTTTGTTGGGGTTGATACCTATAGTTGGTGATTTAGTTGAAGTGGGTTATAAGTCGAACCTGAGAAACTTTCTCTTGTTAGAGAAGCATTTGACCCGGGTTGGAGAAAAGAATATGGGTATAATCGGTGAAGATGAAGTGAGACCTAGCTTCATTAATGATAAAATCCAGCCGTTTGTGGATACTAAGGTGAAACCTGGTGCTATTAAGGCTGGAGAACAGATAAAGTCGTATATGCATTCGGGATCTGAGTCCCCTAACGTTGCTTTACGCTCTCTGCCAGCAACTATACAAGCACACCCGACAACAGTGACAACTTCTTCGTATGAAAGTCCTCTTTCGCTAAAGGGAGACAGGAATGACAAATCTAGTGAAGATACTAAGTCTATAAGAAGCTTATCCTCCACTTTAGGTAAAAAGGTTAATTATGTTGACTTAGATGAAGATGAAAAGTTTTTGTCCCACCATGTTATCAATCAGTAGTCACGTATTAGGTGATTATCATTGACATGTATGCGTTAAAATTATATTTTATAATATATAGACTTATTCACGTTAGACTTTCTAGGCTTGGAATATATTCTCGATTAATTTTAGATTTTTTTTTTTGGTCTCACAATATTCGATATTCAAAACAATTACCGTTTAAATTTAATTGTTAGAAATTCAGATATATTCAGAATGGTCGACAAGGACGCCAATAATGAACTTGATAATATATCACTTGTGTCCGAACAAGTGACTAATGGAGAAAATGGCGAATTGAATATTGAAGCACTGGAATCTACCGTTGGATCAAACGGCGCAGTCGCTGACCACGAGGAATCTGAGACTAATAATCGAACAGTAGATAATACGGAAAATGATACATTGGATAGGGATAAATCAGACGTCCAACCGAAGCATAGCTCACAACAAAGAGAAGCAGACTACTCGCTGGATGCTTTCCCTGTGAAGATAGAGGATGAACTGGTTAATGGTAAAACTTCAGGGCCTGATGAAAATAAAGATACAGCGTCACGGAAATCAATGGATGGAATATTGAACTTGTCAGAGAATAATTTGGATGCACCTAAACCAGAGGAATTAAATCCAAGCTTACACAGCTTGATGACTGCGTGTCAACAGGGTGATTTAACTAAAGTTAGTGAATTAATTTCTAAAGGAGAAGTCAAAGCAAACGATACGTTTAGTGATGGCATTACTGCTTTGCATTGGGCAGCAATAAATAATAGATTGACTATAGTTAAATACTTAGTTGAAAATGATCACTCTAAAGCAGATCCAAATTTATTAGGAGGTGAATTGAAGGCATCACCATTACATTGGGCGTGTCGTAATGGATTAGTGTACATTGTTGACTATTTTATTGTCCATACAGATGCAGATCCAACATTGAGGGATTCCCAGTCGTATAATGCATTGCATTTAGCAGTTCATAGCTCAAACATCACGTTAATTATTTATCTCCTACTCAGTTGTTGCGGATCAACTTCCTCGTCTAAACAGCTATATGTGGATGAATCAGACAATTGTGATCGTACAAGTTTGCATTGGGCTGCGTACCAGGGAGACTTATTAACTATTAATGCATTATTGAAATTTGGTGCAGATGTTTCAAAGATTGATAAGAATTTATTTATTCCTTTACACTGGGCATTTATGAAAGGTTATAAGACTGTTTTAAAGGTTTTAGCCGGCGCAGGGTCTAATATATTTGCGAAAAACGATCAGGGTAAGGATTCGTTTGAGGTTGCAAAAGATATGAATTGCTATGATACTTGGATAAAAGTGTTGAAAGAATGTGGTCGGAATCCCAAAAATAATTGGGAAATGAAAACTATCCATTTGAATCCAAAAATTGGCAAGTTAGTAACGTTTTTCACCCCATATGTTATTTTACCCTTGATGTTCCAAATCTGTTCTTTTTATAACGGGTTTGTGATTCCTAAATTATTTTTTTCAGTGATCTTATTTGCTGGATCAATTTATATCTTGCAAAAGTTTGTTATACCAACTTACTTATCAGAAGAAAAGGCAGTACCAAAATCTCCGCTATTGGCAGGGATTTTTTCAGGTACTGCTTTTTGGTGCATTGTAACTTGGGCTTTCAATATAATACCCACCCTTCTTTTTAAGAAATTCATTTCCAATCTAGTTTTGACTGCTATCATATATTTATTTATCTGGTCTTTCTTTAAAGCAATGTTTATTAACCCTGGATATGTTCCTGTTCCAAGTGATAATAGTGTTACGCTTGATCAAGTGAAAGATTTAATTAAGGTTGGGAGATTTGATACTGATAATTTCTGTGTTAACACCTTTGTTCGTAAGCCATTAAGATCAAAATATTCCAGATTTAATAAGAAGTTGATCGCTAGATTTGACCATTACTGTCCATGGGTATATAATGATATAGGCGTGAGAAATCACAAGTTATTCGTGGTATTTGTTTACTCTTTGAACTTGGCAGTTCTTCTTTTTACACATCTATCAATTAAACTATTCAAAAATACAGAAAAGATGGGTGGGTATGATAGTGATGATGAATCTCAGAAGTGTTGGTTATTATCAGATGAATTATGCGTGGGCTATAAATCTCATCATTTTCAATTTAATTTAATGGTTTGGTGCTTAATACAATATATTTGGATAGCCTTTCTTTGTTTGGTACAAACATTTCAAATTTTGAAAGGCTTAACAACCTGGGAATTTAGCTCATTAAATAATAGGTTACAGACTCATAATGGTTACAACCATTCTACTTTACCAAAAGACTTTGATTTGACATCATCTAATACCAATAGATATAACTCTCCTAAGCAAAGTAATGGCTTTAGTATATGCTTGAAATTAATTGGTTTAGATCAAGTTGTATTAGCTATAAAGTTAGGGGTAAAATCAATCTTTTCGCATACATCGAGTGTTGAAACCTATGATCCACTAAATGAATTTGAAATTCCAACTGATTATGGGTTTAGGACAAATTGGCTAGATTTTTGGTTCATTGGTGACATTGAGTGGAGAAACATATTTTATTTACCTATAGAGGGTGAGAATAATTTAAATCGAACGGTCGTTGACTACTACAAACTATATGAATACCCTCCAAAACTAGCAGATGTGAATGCTTGATATTTAGAGAGAATAGAATATATTAATAATATTCAGTGTAAATAAATAAATTATCATATATTACTCTTATTGTAAAACAATATTTGGATTGCAGATTCCAGTTAACGCGCCTGGTAAATTTTTACAAAAAATGGTGAAGTAAACGGATGTTTATTCAATATGTAGGATATTTAGGTCGACATAACAACATTGATAATGAACTATAGTCACTATTGAAATAAATTTCAAAGTAACTTGTCAGACAGCCACTTACACCCACCCAAGTTTAAAACATCCGAAGAAGTATATAAAAAAGGGTAAAGATCATCGCTCCTTTTGTAAAAATGAGGAATAAATTCCAAATCTTCAAGATAAAAGGCAAACAAATAATAGATGACCGAATCGCTAAGGATTACAGACAAGCTAAATATAGTTCTCACTTTGAGGGTATAAGGGTATCTCACTCATCAACCAAGTTGGATTCAGTGGCTCTTTTGAAGAGTCAAAGAGGGACGTGACCTATAGAAATGATCCTATGAAGTACGTCGACAAAGAAAAAAAAGGAAAACATTCAAAATAACTTTTGATTACCGTACTTATATAGTTTTTCAGATGGTTACGAACCAACGCACCCATCTTCAAATTTTTTTTATTTCTAGGGCACCGTTACACCGGGTAACAACTGCCATACTTATGGTCTATTTAGGGTTTTTTATAGATAATAACTGTTTAATAGCTAAAGAAGATGCCATGTTTAGGAAAAGAAATGGATATTTTGACAAGTTAGAATGTCCAGAGCTACGTAAGAACAAAAAGTGTACGATTCTCAATTGTATTTTTGACCATGAATTGGAACAGAAAGAAATCAATTCTAGGAAAAGGTCCCTAGAGACTGATGAATTGCCAAAACCGGTTAAGAAACCTGATAAGCCAGATAAACCTATATCGGAAGTAGAGAAACCACAAGATACCTCCTATACCATCCCAAAGGCTATAAATCATTTACAAATACCCAGGTCAGATAGAACAATCAATGTCAAAAGGATTGCTAATTATTATCTCAGTTTGAATCACGACACACCGAACAAAGATGCAGTTGAAAAAGAACATGAAATTGCAGATAGCAGTAATAACTTAGAGAAATATAGGGCCCTTATTACGGCATTGTTGGAAGAAGACAAAGAAACAAGGGGTGAAGATCCGAAATTTATATTACCAAAAGAGATCAAGCTGACAGCACCTGCAACAATTCAAGTTCGGAAAAAATTTATCCAGGTTATGATTGATGCATTGAAGAAGACTGATCCTAATATACGAACTCCTATACTAAAGGCTACTGAAGAAGAGTTTAATGTGGCTACTGAGTGCACGGCAAATACTTATCCACAATCAATTAAGAGGAAAATTTATGAATTGAGAAACCCAGAGAAATTTGAGAAGAAGTCTAAAAAGCTTACCGAATCGGAGTATCTTTCTAAGTTAGAGGAATTAGTCATACCAAGAGAAACACTCATAAAATATGGGTATATCATGAATATCCCTAATTCGGTGGTACCAGAAAATATCAGAACATGTAGAAGATGTAACAATGAATTCAAGCTACACGAACAACTAAAGCCCATACAATGTCATTATCATTCTGGAAAAGTAATTAAGAAAGACTCATTTAATAAAGTATACGAATGTTGTGGAGGTATAGTTGGCGGCGAAACAGATTGTTGTGAAGTTTCAGAACATCATGTCTTTTATTGGAATAGTCCAGAGGAGATGCAATATGCATTACCATTTCATAAGACAAGTGAATTGCTTGGTGTGAATAGCCAAAGTTTTAAAGCTGTCGGCATTGATTGCGAAATGGGGTTTACTACTAGAGGCTTCGAATTATTGAGAATTACAGCTGTCGATTTTTTCAGTGGCGAAGATATTATTGACATTTTAGTCCGACCAAAGGGGGATGTTATTGACCTAAATACGAGGTGGTCTGGAATTGCAGAGATTAAGGAAGAAGCAATGAATTTTGAGGATCTGATTCAACTTCTAGGTGAAGTTATCGATTCTAACACCATTTTAATTGGTCATGGACTTGAAAATGATGTGAATTCTATGAGACTTATACATGAAAGAATAATTGATACTGCCGTGTTATATCCGAAGCACAAGACATCTCCTAAGTTCAGATTCCCTCTTAAATACTTAACTTTCAAGTATTTAGGCAGAACTATTCAATCAGGAGAACACGACAGTAGTGAAGATTCTCTTGCTGCTATTGATGTAGTTAAATATTTTATAAATCAAGAACCATAGTTAGTGCTGTGCACAACATACCTGACACTGGTTGCAAAATATATATATATTTTGCAGCCTCAAATTAACTGAATATATTTATTCAATGAAGAGTACTTTTGCCATAAATGTGTTCAAATATCTGGAATAAAGTACACAACAAGAGGATTCAAGCAATTATCGCTTCTATTTTTTGCATTCACTTATATTACGGTTTAGTATATATAATATTCACTCAATAATAACCCGTTATAATCCAAGGTTGTAATATTTGATACTTAATTTATATAAGTTGATTCCTTTTTCTCTATTGAATATGCAAAATCAATTATAAAGCCTTCTCTTAAGATAACGCTATTCTCCATGTGTCTCGAATAATAATGCCATTTAAATGTTTATTTCCAACTGTATACTCTCATTCAGGTACTTTTCTATATTTCGTGGAATAGGAATAATATCAACAAATTGGCACAAGCTAAAGCCTTTATTGGATATTATTTGGCAACCTTTCATATATAATCTTTCTATGTGGGATTTTTCTTTATTGATATTTTTGCAATCTGTGCGATGATCATATGTAGTGTATAACCCCCACATTGCTATGACGATAAAAATAGAATATACTTTTTAGATTTATCAAGAACAAGTAACAAGTATAAGAAGATGTCTTTGAAAGTAGTTATATTGATTGGAGGTGAAACTACCGGTACAAGGTTTAGACCTTTGTCTATGGATACACCCAAAGTTTTATTTCCAATTGCAGGTAAACCCTTGATAAGCCATATAGTTCAAAAGATAGCTGAATTAGGAGACGGTGAATTAATTGAAGTTTTTCTCCTTGGATATTTCACTGATTTGAAACCGTTCGACGAATATATTGCAGAAGCTAAGAAAGAATATTCTAACGTGAATATAAAATATTTGACAGAACCATATTCTATGGGGACTGGAGGTGGCCTTTACTACTTTAGGGATGAAATATTTGGTGATGGGACATGCGAAGAATTATTAGTTATTCATGGAGATATTGTATGTAATTACCCCTTCAAAGAATTAATACACTTCTATGAAATGAGTAATGCAGACTCTGTGATTTTGGGAATCAATCCTTTGCTTCTCATGAATAATTATCAGAATGCGACCCAAATACAGAACCATACTTCATTCAAGGTGTATGGTAATATCGATACTTTTAGTAAATATGGTACGATAATTGCCAATAAGTCGGATTCTAACGTTGTTCATTATGTTGAAAAGCCATCTTCCAAGTTCTCAGAATTTCAATTACAAACAGAGTATAACACATTAATTAATGGAGGGGTCTACGTTTTTGACAAGTCAATATTAGGGTTTCTTGCGAAGGCCCAAAGTCATAAGTCTTCAAAGTGTAAAGAATATGATAGGCATAATCTAGACAACGAGTCTATAAATTCCAACGTACTTTCCCTCGAATTGGACGTTTTGAAGTTCTTACCTGAAGCCAAGAACCAGTTCTTGACATATAAGTCTGATAGTTTTTGGTATCAATTGAAAACCCCCATTTCAGCTTTATTTGCAAACATCTTTTTCTTGGAAGAATACAAGAAAAATCAAGTTTGCAATGATTTGTCAACTCCTTCGGATAAGATAATATCACCAGTTAGGGCTTCAAAGTTTGTAACAGTTTCAGAAAATTATATAATCGGGCCAAATGTTTCGCTTGGTAGAAATGTTAAGATTGGAAATGGTGTCAGAATTAAAAACTGTATCATCTCGGATAATGTCACTATCGGTGATAACTCCTTTGTTGCAAATGCCATTATTTCTAAAGAGGTCAAAATTGGAAGATGGTGTCGTATTGAAGGAACATTTACTAATGACACGATAAGCAAGGACATAAATCAAGTCAGGTCAGACGGCTACTTTAAGCTTATCAACAATATAGTTGTTTTATGTCAAAATACAGTTGTGCATAATCAGGTTTTAGTTTACAATTCAATCGTTTTGCCCCATAAGGAATTAAAAAATGATGTGAAATATGAAATTGTCATGTAAAGGATAAGAAACAACTATATCGAACAAGACAAAGTGAGCTCTGTAGTGCAATACTGCTCAACGTTACATTTTAACAGAGTATATATCATTCATTTTGGTGAATATAGTCTGCCAAATTAGTAAGATTGCAAAATCATAATTATATTACAGCACCTTCCCTGTTTTTTGGTCTGAATGATATATTGATTTTAAATTATTAGTTATAATTGTAAATTGTAAAATCATATCGGAAAACCACAATAAACTTGCTATTGTAGGATTTGAAATTGTTGCTGGTGTATAGATGCCAAAAAAAAAAAATCAATTGCAACAAGACGCGATCTACATCCAAAACGCGATTATGGTGTTTTCATAATGAAATCAAATAGATTTTAACCATCCTTATTCTATAAGTATCTTTTTATTAAAATTTCTTTATACGACTTGAACATGTCACTGAAGTTGAAGAAACCATCTACTCCAAATAAGAGTGCAAGTAAGGTGAATGGAACTTCCTCAGGAAGTGGTTCCAAAAAGAAGCAACTGTCTCTTATGTCATTCTTTAAGCCTGCTAGTAAACCTGGACAGGAGTCTTCACCATTAAAAAGTAAAAATAATAGTGAAGTTAAAGATGGAAGCGATAAAGAGAATGAAAGAAGTATACTAGAAGATACTCAATTAACAGATACACCTTTAACTTCAGAAACCAGTGCCGCCGTGGATACAACATACAAAAGATCAAAGCCCGACTTTCCAGGGTCATCTCCAGTCAAGCAAGATAACCTACAAGAGAACCCTAAAAAACCTTTATCGGATTCATCAAACAACGCTGTTCCTAATTCGAGTCCAGTTTCGAAACGTAGTTCGAATAAATCTATCAGCTACGCAGAATCAGACGCGGACGAGGATGCTAATATTTCTCAAGCATCCCGCAAAAGAAGAAAGATCGTGGAAAGTGATGATGATGAAGATGAATTTAATCCAGAAGATGCAGAAGCTGACGAAGAAGATGACGATGATGATATGAGTGACTTTGTCGTGGATGATAATGATGAGAGCGGTATAGATGACGAAGAAGAGGGGATAGAAAATGAAGACGAAGGCATAGAAGAAATCAGTATAGCAAAACCAAAAAAGAAGATTAGAGCTTCTGCAAAAATAGAAGTAAAAAAGGTCAACACAGACACTGTACCATCGGGTCAAAGCTCATTAGGCAATAAATTTAAAGCAAATTCCTCTTACACTGTATCTTCAGGTTCATTGCCCAAACCAAAGGATTCAAGGCCATCTTCAACTATGACCAAGAATAATAAGTTTTCAAAAGAAAATGAAGAAAGATATCAATGGTTGGTTAATATTAAAGATGCAGAGAAGAGAACACCCGACGATCCTAACTATGATTCAAGAACGTTATATGTTCCTTCGTCAGCCTGGTCAAAATTTACTGCATTTGAGAAGCAATACTGGGAGATTAAATCTATAATGTGGGATACTGTTGTTTTCTTTAAGAAAGGAAAATTTTATGAATTATATGAAAATGATGCAATGATTGCAAATTCTCAATTTGATTTAAAAATTGCTGGTGGTGGAAGAGCAAATATGAAATTAGCTGGAATCCCAGAGATGTCTTTTGATTACTGGGCTAAGGAATTCATCAATCTGGGTTATAAAGTCGCTAGAGTAGATCAAAAGGAGACTTTATTAGCCAAAGAAATGAGAGGAGGTTCTACTAAGGAGGAAAAGATTATTAAAAGAGAGTTAACAGGAGTATTAACTGGAGGTACGTTGACCGATTTAAACATGATAAGTGATGATATGTCTATTTACTGTTTAAGTATTAAGGAAGAACAATTGGACAATGGTAGCAAAATGTTTGGTATCGCTTTCGTCGATACTGCAACATCCGAATTAAATTTAATCGAATTTGTTGATGATAATGAATGCACCAAGCTAGACACCTTAATCGCTCAGATTAGACCAAAAGAAATCCTATGCGAGAAGAATAATTTATGTTCCATTGCTAATAAGATTTTGAAATTTAATGCACATAATTCGAATCAAATTTGGAATAATTTAAATCCAATTTCGGAATTCTGGGATTATGATTCAACATTAGAAAATTTGGTTAAAAGCAAATATTACGCAGCCGAAGATTTAGATGATTATTCTAATTTCCCTAGGATTTTAGTTAGCTTCAAAGATAATCATAAATGTGCGTTCAATGCATTTGGGGGGTTGTTATATTATTTGAAGTCATTAAAATTGGATGAAAGTATCATGACCTTAGCTAACATTAATGAATACGTTATTTCGAAAAACTCTTCTAAGCATTTAATTTTAGATGGTATTACATTGAATAATTTGGAAATCTTAAACAACTCATTTGATGGCGGGGATAAAGGAACTTTATTCAAATTAGTGAATAGGGCAATTACACCTTTTGGAAAGAGAATGTTAAAGCATTGGGTTTTGCATCCGTTGATGAAGATAGAAGACATTAACGAAAGATACGATTCCGTAGACTATTTAATGGGTGAAGGTATAAAATTCAGAGAAATTTTGGAACATGCATTTAATGGTTTGCCTGATTTGGAAAGATTATTGGCGAGAATTCACAGCAAGACGTTGAAATTTAAAGATTTCTTGAGAGTCGTAGAAAGTTTTGAAAAAATTTCGAAATTAGTGGTAGATGTTCATGATTTTTCAGATAGTGAAACGGGGTCTTTACATAAGTTTGTTAATAGTTTTCCCGCAGAACTAGAAAATTGTATCAAAGAATGGGACGATGCATTTGACAGACAAGAATCAATGCGTGATATTGTCGTTCCAATGAAAGGAATTGACAATGAGTTTGACACATCCCATGCTAAGATTAATACGCTTGAAAGTGAATTGAATGAGCATTTAAAGATTTACAAGAAGCAATATAAATCCAATGAGATTTGTTATAAAGATTCTGGTAAGGAGATCTTTTTAATAGAAATGCCAAATAAGATAAAAAATATACCAAAGGATTGGCAGCAAATGGGGTCAACATCGAAAGTCAAGAGATTTTGGTCGCCAGAAGTACGAAAATTGGTTAGGGAATTAATGGAACAGAAAGAAACGCATAAGATGGTTTGCGAGACTTTGAAATTTAGGATGTATGAAAAATTCAATAAAAATTATTCAATTTGGATATCAGCCATACGGAATATCGCTAATATTGACTGTTTAATTGCATTGACGAAAACTTCTGAATCTATTGGATATCCATCTTGTAGACCACAATTTGAGAAAGCAGATAAAGGATTGATCGAGTTCAAAGAATTAAGACACCCCTGTTTTATTGGAACAAAAGAATTTATACCCAATGACATTTGCTTGGGAGGATCAGAACCGAATTTTGGACTTCTTACGGGTGCAAATGCTGCGGGAAAATCTACAATTATGAGGACAACTGCATTAGCAGTCATGTTAAGTCAAATCGGGTGTCATGTTCCTGCCAGTCTGGCACGGTTGAATCCAATCGACAGAATTATGACAAGATTAGGGGCTAATGATAATATAATGCAAGGAAAATCCACATTCTTCGTTGAATTATCAGAGACTAAGAAAATCTTGAGTAATGCAACTCCAAACTCATTGGTCATTTTAGATGAATTAGGAAGAGGTGGTTCTTCTAGTGATGGTTATTCGATTGCTGAATCTGTTTTATACCAATTGGCTACTCATATTCAATCGTTGGGTTTTTTTGCAACGCATTATGGTTCTCTAGGGTTATCTTTTAGGAACCACCCTCAAATCAAACCTTTGAGAATGGCAATTTTAATCGACGATCATTCTAGAAACATCACATTCTTATATAAGTTAGAACAAGGAGCTGCACCGGGATCGTTTGGTATGAACGTGGCATCTATGTGTGGCATTTCTAATGAAATAGTTGATAAGGCCGAAATCGCGGCAAAGGAATATGAGCAGACTTCAAGAATTAAGAGGCAGAATGATATAAGTAACGCGAATCTCAATAACTTGAGCTTAGGGTTACAGAGTGATTTTGCTTGGCTAGTGAACAATTATAAAAAGCTTTCTGAGGATATTTTGGATTATGATGAATCGGTGAAGCAAAATGCTTTGACTAACATTTTTACTATGGTAGAAAATCTATAATTCCGCGCACATATTTAAACAAGTCAATAAATTACTATTATATACTACTAAGTTCTTTAAATAAAACAAGTTAAATAAAAACTAATAATCAAATCAATATGCTTACCAGATTAGGATTAAACACTACAGCACCATACCATTTTTTGTTCTACTCTATCGTTTTCGGGGGTTCAGTGTTCCATTCATTCATTGTCTCCCCAATTGCTTTCAAGCATTTATCGAGACCAGAATTCAGTAATCTTCAGAATAAGGTCTTTCCAACTTATTTTCTTGGACAAGCATTATCACCTTTGGTATTAGGTTTAACGACCCCATTAAAGTTATGTCCATTCACGATTGGATTATTGGCGTTATCAAGTGCCACCGGTGCCCTCAACTATTTTGTTTTATTGCCTTGGTGCCAACAAATTAAAGACCAGAGAAACAAATTGGTTAGCGACAAGTTACATGAAGTTATTGAAAATGGTGAAGTAAAACCTTCGGAAGAGATGGTTAGATTAAATAAGCAATTCGGTAAGTACCATGGTATTTCTTCTTTGGTTAATATTTTATCCATTCTTTCTCTCGGGGCGTATGGGGTTATTTTATCCAAGAGATTACTCTGATGGCTTCTGTGTTTCGTCAACTTGCAGAATGAATGATCATTTAATCTCTACCACATTGTTATTCTTGCGAATGAAATGCTTACTTGTATATAGACTACATAATCTTGATTTTATATGATAATAATATGCTTGAGAATGATACAATTGATAATAAACAAAATCAATGATAGTTTTTTTTCAGAAATTATTCTTCTTTCTTATTCCTATCCATTTTTTCCTGTTCGAGCTCTTCCTTGTAAATTATTGGATAAAGGACAAACAATAAAACGTAACCTAAAGATAAAACATTTGCACCAAATATGACAAAGTAACAAATTATCCATGAGATGGATAAATAAGGATTCATAAGTAACCGCTTCATGATCCAAGCATAATGAAATAAGATTAAGATCATAATTATGGAACCAGATACAGCAAACTTGATGTCCTTGACCATCTTAGGAGTTACATTTTCCTTAATAGTTTCTATTGATAAAAAAGAAGGATTGGACCGTTTAGGCCTAGCAATTGGAGGTGCCAGCGAAGTTGAATCAGACATAACAATATTATATAAATCGATATTTGTTAAATACTAATTTCAATTCAGTTACCTGCGACCATGAAAAGTGATAAAAAATAGTGGATGTGAACGGCGCCAAAATTATTGAAGATGGGACGGATTTGAACTAATACAAATAGCGATGTTACGTCAACAGATTTATAATGCCATAACCTTCTAATTATCATTTAACAGTACATTACTATGATGTATTAAAACTATTATAAATAAGAAATAAATTATACTTTATTAATAAATAGATAAATAAATAAATAATAAATAGTAATAATTCAATAATTATATGAAAAACTTTTCAAGAAACCATTTATAACCCTTTTACAATTCCTTCATCAACTTTTTAAGAAAGAATCTTTGATTCATTGTCAATTAAAAATTTTCTAATTTGTGATAAACTACCACTTAACTTTTTAAAGATACAAACTTTAATATTTGTATCATATATAAAACCCAAAATTAATTCACCAATTTTCAATATGTATAATGTCTTTTCTAAACTATAATTGTACTCATTCGATAAATTGTTTCCATTCAATGAGCCTAATTCACCATTATTCCCATTTGAATATAAATATAAGTTGGTGAATTGATTCTCTAATTTAAGATTTTGATATTTGTTCTTTAAGAAGCTTTCAATCTTACCTAAGATCATCAAAACAGCATTAAATCTTTGATTTAATTCAGACCTCAAACTGTTATCAGTTTGACTGTCGTTATTTTTTCTTATCAAGTGGATTGAAAAAATCGACAAAATAGAAAATACATGGAATAACATTTGTAAGTGAATCGAATTTTTAGAAATATTGAATTCATCCTCATATACCTTAATATCGATTAATTTCTCAAAAACGGTAGATGTGCTTTCATATTCAGTAATCAAATTTCCATTACTAGCAGGATCGTGCATAAATTTCAAATCCATATGAGTATCGAATGCTGAGCTATTAGAGTTATTGCTCTCGGTTTTGAATAAGACCAATTTCGTTATTATGATGCAACAATCAACAATTCTAAGATAATCATAATCACTGATTTCATGTATAGTACTCAAGAAACTATTAAAATTGGACGTTAATTCATCAAAATTTCTTAACCAACTTTGTTCCTTGACGTACTTGAAATCAATCAATGAAGTAATTTTAACAAAATTGACAAGCAAAGCATAATCCAACTTCTGTTTCTCAAAATCATTGGTAGATTTGTAGTGAAACGAGTCACCAATGGTTTGATTACCATTGATATTATCATTTGCTATTGGGAAGCTAAAACTAGGTGATCCAATATAGCTGGTCAAATTATCTAACACTGAGAAAACATCCATATTCTGCAATTCTGGGTATTGTTTACTTTCATAAATACCATTGACTATCGATACAAATCCAAATTGACTTAAATTATTTAGCTTATCACTTAATACATCATCCAAACCCGTATGCACATCCGTCTTAGTAATTTGGTACAAAATGTCGCTAAACACCATTTTGTTTCCATTTGGATTTAAGTAATCATTCAAAGTTTTATTTGTATGATTGTTTTGGTTGTATTCCTGGAAAGATTGGTAATTTTTAAAACTCCATAAAAACTCATCCTTTCTAGTAGGTGCTTCCAACAACCCTAAATCATTGATGCTCAATGTTAAAGGAACATTATACATCATTAATAAGAAATTGGTCAATCTATAGATCATGAAAACAATTCTTATTTGCGATTGAATATTAATGATATTCTTGAATTTGATTTCATCATTGACATTGAACGACGTTGTTGAAAATAAAGAATCATTCTGCAAAAAATCATTTGACTTGATTTCATTCATTTTATTATAAATATCTTCATCTTCACCATTGATCGAGAACAATACGGTTCTATTACTCTTAATCGACGTTTTAACCAACGAGTTTAATGCATTCAATTGCCTTATTACAATGTAGACATTATTCTCATTATCGGAGAATAATCCATATATTACCGATAATGTTAATGACTGAATCAACCACAATGGATTTGTAGATTGCGGAGTCGAATTAAGTGCAGAGTTAGATGCAGCCTCATTAACAGAATTTTTCCTACTTTCCAAATAGATATGAATGGTTCTCCTAGAAGCTTCATATAAATGCTCCGAATCGTTCTTATTATTTGCTAACAACGCACCAATAGTGGCTGTCAATAGAGGCAAGCAAACTCTAGCACTTTCATTTGATAATTCTTCATTAGAAGTCATACTCATAATCTCATACTCATTCAATTTTGAGATATGTATAAATGGGAAATGAGACAAGAAAATATTAACAAAATTGTTCGTATAGAATTCCAATTTTTCGTTCGAAGGGATGGTTGGTGTCATTATACCATTAATGGGATATTTACTCAAAGATTTATTGATCATGTATCTGACATTATTGGTAAATAATTTGTTTTTAGAATAATTACCAGGCTTAAAAGAGTTCCTTCTTTTGCTGCCAGCTTGTTCAATATTCATTAAGTGGGATTGGTTTAAATAATTATGGTCAGTTAAAGATTGTTGATGAATCAGATGTGGATTCGGTTGCGGTAATGATGTTTCCGATTGATATTGACTTTGTGAAACTGACGGAGAGATCATTTGGGGTGAATTGGTTTCCATGCCACTGGAGGAAACCGAATTATTATCGCCATAAAATGAATAGCCATTAGGCATAAATTTGGCATTAACATCAAATTCGTTGGTCAATTCTCCTATATCATTTAGGAAATTTAAATCAAAGTTTTGGCTACCTGTTTGAGGATTATTGTTATTAGCATTGTGATTATTATTATTATTATTATTATTATTATTGATATTATCTTCAGTGAGGCTAGGGTTGCGTTTTAAACCGTTGGCATTAGTATGGTTGGTATTATTTTCGTGATTCATGCTTGTCATTGTGATTTCATCATCATCTTCTTGCTTAATTGGTGTTAGATGGTTAGCTAATTTGAAGTGGTTTCCCGAACTTGCCATCATAGACTCAGGTATATCGTAAAAGGAATAACCATATTCCTCGTTGTGGGGGTTATTTATATGGTTGTTGGTATTGGTCGAAGTTGAAGGTGTTATCTCATTATTTGAAACAGTCGCACTAGGCATCATATACTGTAAGCCATTCAAAGAATCGAACGTGTTGTATGACGACGTACTTGCCAAACTGTCTGACCTTAACGCGGGCAATTGTCCTGAAAAAGAGCCTTGGTGTGATACGCTTGCTGGTACATCATTATGATCCAAAGACATCGATGTAATGGAGCTGTGTCTTGGTAGTTTGGGGTTACCTTTGGCCCCGTTTAAATTGGCACCATTGTTAGCGCCATTGTGAGCACCATTCGAATGCGTACCATTAGTGCTGTTATTATTATTATTATTATGATTATTATTACCGTTATTATTGTCGTTCATACCAGGAATAGTCGATAAGTTATTTAACCAAGCGTGGTCGTCTGGAGTACCAGTTGGATACAACTGGGGAGTAGAAAACTCCACATGGTCGGTGCCGGGATAAAGATCGTTAAACTCAGCCAAACCCATAGCGTAGTTTCCACCAGACTGAGCCGAGAATGACGCACCTCTGGTTTTGTCTATTTTTCTTCTATCGAACATCTGTTTGTGCAAAGACGTGCCAGTAGGGCCGTCCTTTGCGCCCGAACTGCTGGCAGACTTCGACATGGGCGACGCTTTGTGGTTGAATAGGTTGAGGTTGAACAGCACAAGATCAAAGTCGTTATGCGACCCCGAGGGCGGATGGGAGAGCGGCGATTGTGACGGGTGGCCGCTCGAAGGGTTCGTGCTCCCTGGAGACCTGGTGTCCTTCGCCGGTGTCATCGACACCATATCGTCGTCCATGTCGAGAGCATCACCCATCGATCCCGAACGTTTGATCGACTTTCTCCGCAACCTGGTGATCGCATCGGCACATCCAGCATGCAACTTCTGCGCGTGTCTCAACAACAAGTCTCTCCTGGAAAACTTCCTCTGACACACACCACAGCTGAATGGCTTCTCCTTCGTGTGCGATCTCTCATGTCGTCTCAAGTGCTCCAACCTCGCAAACGCCCGCGTACATATCTGACACACAAATAGCCGGGGTTTTCCTGACGGCGTGGTACCGTAAGCAGTGAGCTCCAAAGGTATGCTCTTCTGCTTCTTATTAGCCCCCGTCTGTCCTCCTCCATTCCCTGTATCTTCTGCTCCGTTTTCACCCTCCAATTTGTCTACCTTATTGGGAAATTCCATCGACATTGTATCTTTATTTTGCTGAACCTGAGAATGCATATATAAACTTCTCCAGCTCAAATTCCAAAATTAAAATTAAGTTGTGTCAAGTATCTTATGGCTGTGTCAACTAATATGCCTTCCGAATATTCTCTATGATTGATTGATTGAATCTGTTTCCATAAATTGATTCTCTCCCTGGATACTGCCCAATATATGGTCTGGCGCTTAATTAATATGAAAGAGCCAACAATTTGTCTAAACGAGAACCAAATGGGCCCCAAGGCCCTAACCTGCAAATATTTATTACGTGGCCAATCCTGGCCACTTGGAATAACCTGCAAAACAACCGGAAATTACTCAGACAAGTTTTTGTGGGGTGCAGCTTATCTGAAAGGATGATTGAAAATGGAGTAAAAATGGGCGGCGCGTGCTGGTAGCCGGAGTGGCCCGCTGGTGCCAGTCGGCCACTCCGGCGGTGTTGTAACCGAAACAGCATGTCGCTAATACGACATATTATATATCGCGGATGATATCGCAACGGTTGGTTTTCGACTACGACGAAAATGCGACGAGTGTGGCAAAGGAAGAAAAATAATTTTTAATAGCTGAGCACACGTGACATTAGTCTTCTGGTATCAAAATTTGGTATCAAAATTTGTTATATCGAAGCCTGAGTAAGCATAGTCCAACCATATCTACATACACACGCCAGGATGTCAGTGATAGAAATAGAGTCTGAGTCACAGTTCACAGAGTTGACCAAATCGGACGCTAGCAAGTTGATTGCGTTGTATTTCCATACGCCGTGGGCAGGACCATGCCAGACGATGAACTCAGTGTTTAAGACGTTGGCAGAGGCCAACGAGTCGGTTTTGTTCATATCAATCAATGCGGACGACCACCCGGATATAAGCGAGCTTTTCGAGGTATCGGCGGTGCCATATTTCATATTGATTCGTAACTCCACCATTTTGAAAGAGTTGTCGGGTGCAGACCCCAGGGAGTTCATAAGTGCGTTGAACCAGTTCACAGAGCAGAAGGGCACGGCTGCTCCAGCAGCAGCAGCAGCTGCTGCACCGGAGGCACCGGCACAGGCCCCAGTCGAGGAATCACCAGAAGCGTTGAACGAGAGATTGAAGAAGTTGACTGGTGCAGCACCGGTGATGCTTTTCATGAAGGGGTCGCCATCGGCACCGCAATGTGGATTTTCAAGACAGCTCGTGGCAATTTTGAGAGAACACCAGGTCAGATTTGGGTTCTTTGACATCTTGAAGGACGACTCCGTCAGACAGGGTCTCAAGAGTTTTTCTGACTGGCCAACGTTCCCCCAATTATACATCAATGGAGAATTCCAAGGGGGACTTGATATCGTCAAGGAATCGATCGAGGAAGATTCGAGCTTCTTCGAGAATGCGGTTAAAAGTGCTTAGGTATTTATTTTAATATATAACGTGTATTATTCACTATTTATATGCTAGTAGTTTTTAGCCAGGATGAGTTGGTCTAGCTCGGGGTCTGACAGAAATTCATCCTCTGACTCCAATTTGTGCGTTTGGCTTCGCGACTGCGTCACCAATCGGCGGATCTGAGTCTCGTCGATTGAGTCGTTGAATATCTCATCATCTGAGTCGATGTCCGTCTCTATGGGGTCGCTCAATATTTCTTCATCTTCTTGTATTGTTTTCATTTTATCGTCAATATCCATCTGGAATTGGTCCTGTGCATACAGACTGGCTGTATCTTCTTCCAATACGGGCAAATCTCCGTCGGATACGATTTGTTTAAACAGTCCGCCTAACCTGCCGTATTTTAATTTATTATGTCGTTGCTTGTTGTAAATGAGCGGTAAATAGTAACCATCGATTAAATTCAAATCGTTAAATGATGTCTGGCATTCATTAACTACACTTCGATACATACTAATTGCTCGTTTAGTTTTATTGTATTCTTTTATCATCTTGAAATGGCGAGGAAATTTGACATTCATACGTTGCGATTGTCTCCCGCTAACCCTGCGAAGTTGATTCCGAGTGGATCGCATACCTGTTTCTTTACCTTCATCAAAGTTATTCAAAATGTCACTTATGCTTAAGTTGTCGGTAATTTCGCTTGCAATATTTATCCCATAATTCAGGTCGTTGTATATGTGATAATTCTCTAGTATCGACAAATTTAATAATGAATTATTTCCATAGTTGTCTAATACAGTCTTTATAGATAGGTAATCTGATTCTTCCTCATCTAAATCCCGGTATTTAGAACTTGAATATATCACTTTCCCTATAGCATGAAATAAATTTAGTTGGTTCTCTCGTAGTGAATTGAAAATTTCTCCCCTGCCTTTCTTAGATAACCCTGACCAGAATTGTAAATTAGATATCGCCGATCGTATATCACCACTTTCAATTATGTGACTTGAAAAGTCGTTAATGCTAGTCTTTGCGATACCTTTAAACGTCCTTCTTTCTTCATTAATGATTTTATTTATTGACTTCTTCATAAATGAAGCTGCAATCGAATTGAATTTAATTTGCTTGACCTTTCCACGTTGACTTAAAAACTCTCTTCCCAATAAAGTATCCACAGTCAAGTTATTTTCGATATTAAAATAATCTTGATTTCTTTGTTCTTGCGTTAGTTCTATTTCACTTAAGCATAGCACTAATGGCGGTAATTGGTGATCTGTATTAACCCATTCGTTTAGATTACTTCTGAACTTCGACAATGTATCTGCATGGAATACATTTGGTAAATCCTCGACGAGTATTATTGATAAATTTGACCCTATTCGATACCTTGCATCGTTCAAGAATTCGTTGAATTGTTTCGATTGTGGTGTATCAGTGACTATAGTGTCAATATACTCAATCCAATTATCATGCAGCATAGATTCTTGTCTCGTCATGTACGATTCAAAGTTATTACTTGTTGCTGAACGAGGAATGATCTCATTCGCCAAAACTTTTATAGTAGTTGATTTAGAGCTTCCTGACGGCCCTGTAAGAATAAGTAACTTAGTAGGATCTATTCCGGATATCATATTCGATAGTGTTTCCTTAACCTCTTTCAACTTCCTTGGATTTATACATATATTTTCAGATCTAGTTGGAGTATACTTATCTATCCATTGCTGCTGAAAGGTATCCGTGCCAGTCTGTGTTCTTTGTCTTTTGGAGGGAATAAATTCCTCAGACGCTTCAAAGTCGCTTAGACTTTCGTCACTCACATCCTCAGTCTTCGACAGTCTATTTTTATCATCTTTCCTCTCTCGATTACGTTTATTGTACATCAATATTGTCAGCTTGATATAACATGTTCCTAGGCCTACTAATCATTTTGATATAACAAAATCACGTGAGTATTACTAAATAAATATACATTAGTTCTTAAAGGCCTCATTAGACCTGAACATTGGCACAGGTGTTTCTACTCCAGGACGGTTATAAAAAACACCTTGTGCCGGACCATGTGGTGGATTATAGATAAATTGTTCTGGTGGTGCAAAAGAACCATTATATAGTACGTTGGGTACGAACAGTTGATTAGGAGTATAATTCTTGTTTGCAGGTACGAATAGAGGTATCAGAGGTTGCACGTTTGCCATATTCTTCACCTTTTTATTATCCGGATACAATATCCCGCTATCAGATTTTCTTTTTTGACTTTTAATTAAAATTGAAGGATGCTGCTTACCTTTCTTTCTTTGAAGATATTTCATATAATTCGAATCATTTGGTATTTGTGATTTTATATTATCTGTATATCTAGCCACTTGATCTGTTGAGCAGCCAGGCAAATTGTACCAAAATATACTGCAGCTTTCGTCTTTGAGTTCTTTTGGAGCAGTAAATTCAGGTGTCAATACTTCTGTAATAAATTTATCTTCTTTGAACAAACTTAGTTGCGAGTCTGTTTTGATACCAGTAATCTTTTCATCATCAATAACACGCGCAGACGCTATTTTCTTCGGTTTAGGTTTCGATTGTCTTGCTTTTTTCAAGTTCCAGAAGTATGCATTATCAATTACTTCGTTATTTCCCACTATTATGTCATCATAGGGTATTTCGATTCGTTCTCTTAAATGTGGATACGAAACAACCTCTATAGTACTTTCTCCAGGATTATTCGAAACCACATACCCACAATAAATTTCCTTAGATTGATGAGAAGTATCAGGCAAAGATATAGTGAATTGAATTAGAGAGTCGAAAGGTATCTCTGATATTTTTGATTCTTGTTCCTTCTCGTTTCCTTGGGATTTCTTTAGTCTATGGTATTTGCATACCATACTGGCACCAGATAAATCATATAGACCACCACCTCCTAGGCCACAAGTGCCATGAAAAGCTCTCAAACACTTTGACTGATTGCATTGAAAGCATGCCCCGTGTGATGGCTTTTTACTCTTAGGGGAATTAGGATCACAAACCACACATTTTAAATTCTTTTGTGCTGTGGAAATCTGTCCTAGTCCTCTTACTGTACGCTTATCATTGTCAATTTCAAGCTCATTAGTAAACATTTGAGCACATATCCTATGGACTCTGTATACTTTCAACGTCTTCTTATCCTTTAAATCAGAATCTAATAATTGAAATTGATCAGACTTCGTCAACTTTTTCGGTAAGTTATTGGGGCATAAATAACACTCATATTCAGGTTCTTTAACTTGTTGTATCACAGGATCAGGCTTAATTTGTTTTTTATTCACATTCTTCTTCTTACCTTGTGACAATGTAGTTTTTTGTTGTTCAGATTGATTACCGCTATCTGATTCTATTCCCTCTTGCTCTTGTACATACTCATACGGTATTCCTTTGTACTTGCAGTATAATTGTTGAACATTAATACCGACCGAGTCACTTATACATTCACATTTCTTAGTTACCTCTCCATATGGGAACCAGTCATCTAGAGCAAAATTAACAGACTCGGCCAAATTATACCCATAATTAAAGCCGGCATGATATCCATAGGGGTATGTTATTATAAATTCACCTTCATTATGGATTATGCTATTACATTTTATGCCATTCTTTGCTAAAAACTGAGGTGACACAAGAAATGTTTTATGTCTCAAGAATTCCAGACAATTTCTATATTCCTCAGGGAAGGTGTCTTTCATAAGTTCAAAGAACTTTCCCGAATCTGCTTGTGAAATGGAATACCATTGCTTTGGTGCACCAAAGTGTAAGTAGTTGATCGAATATAAATCTTGATCTTCTAGATGCCAGGAAAACGTTGCTTTCCACAAACCAGCGTATAAATAAGCATCGTTAACACCTGGTAACTTTGCATCCATCAAATCCAAAATATTTGGTAAATGTGCTACATTCCAACTCTTAACTGAGTTAGAAAATAAAGACCCTATCAGATCTGCACCATACATTGGTTCAGCATAGGTGAGTGACTTCCAATATGTCTTTTCCAACTGCTCACACCTATCAACCGTGAATTGGCTAGTGTCAATATTGTAGGAGTTCTTGTTCTGCAGCAGGTTTATGGTCGATTTTGCATTCATTTTTGATACATCTTTAGCATTTCCCGTACGTTTCACTGAACCGACTGTTGGAGGAGGTACACGAGGCTTACCCTTCGGGGCTGGAGGCTGAAAATTTGATTTTTCTGACAAGTCCTTCCATTGAAATATGTTGTAGGTCCGCGGTCTTTCAATATTCTGCTGTGAATAAATACCAACTCCAGAGCCATTAATGTGCTGGACAATTGGGTTCTTGATTTTGATTGATTCCAAACTTTCCTCCGTATAATTCAATGTCAAGGTATCTGACCATGCTTTTGGTGGTATTATCTTTACTATTCCTGATTGCATACCATACTTGTTAATTGCCTTATTAAACTTGTAGAAATCCTGAAATTGTTTCTTTGTAGGCTTAAAAACTGGAATTCCACCGGAATAATGGTCCGGCTCCACTACTAGGGATGGATCAGCTTCATATATACCTTCCATATTTAAGTAGTAGCTCTTCAAAATATAATGAGTTGCAATATCGTCTGATCTTTTAATAATGTTCTTTAAGAATGAACTAAAGTAATATCCGGGATTCGGAATTACCCTCGAAACTCCGGAATTCGAATTCTTCGAATATATTTCACTTTATCAAAAGAGATACTGAAAAGAATGAAAAAGGCAAATATACAAAATGGAACAACGCAGACCAATTAAAAGTAAACCGAATACTCAGGGGATACCAGATGAAGAGATATCTACTTCAAGAGTGATAAAGGCACTCTTTCTTACGTTTCTTTCGCTATTTGCAATCGTACTTTGGGGTTATCATTCAGTGTGGGCAGTTCAGGTGATGATTTACAATACGTATGGTAATTTCTTCAATAATTTAGTATTTGGGCCAGGTACTTTAATTGCTCATGGTGGATTAAGTATTAAACTTGTTACTTATTTAAATGTGATACTATTAGATGATAAGATCGATGCAGATCATAAAAAGTATCTTTAAGGATGTAATATACATATATATATATATGCAAAATGCTATGTAAATAATACTTACAATATAATCAAATCATTTCATGTCCGTATATGTAATTCCTAATTCATCGCAATATTTTTCCAATACGTCTTTTTCTAACTTGACACATACTGGACCTGATGCTAACCATTCTTGCAACATACATAAATTAATTGGTTCAAAACTCAATATTTTATCAAGCCAGTATTGATTTTGTTTCAAATGGAAGCTAATTCTGTTATAAATGTTTGCTTTAATTGTATGCTGCGATGCAGTCATCGGTTTGTCCTGATCGTCATTTAATTGGCTCTGACTGACTAATTTATTTGTCTCAGAGAGAATCTGGATCATTTTTTCTTTGCCTTTGACTGGCTTTAATCCCCATTCCTGAAATTTCGCCTTCAAGTCTTTTGTCGACATATTATTAAATTCATCTTGAGTTGGTTCTAAAGCGTTGGAATGAATATGGTCTTCGTGTATTTTCTCAGAATCAAATGCGGAATCAGCAGCTTGTGACGTATGCAACAGTCCTAGAACATTAGAATTATCAATCTGTGGACTTGACGGTACTTGCAAAACTGAAGTATCATTTTCATTTCTGGGATTGCGTCCTAGATTTACCAAATCATCCGTATCCTCAACTTCTCTTGTAATTTCAATCACGCTTAAACTGTTGTCATGCTTTCCTTCATCTTCAGAATCACATATTTCATTCTCCGAATCAACAGGCTGACGTTTGGTTTCAATTGTCTTGATCTTAACTTTGTTATTTTCATTCATTAATTTAACATTTAAACCTCCACCAAATGACAATCGAGATGTGTGATATAATTTGCGTTTGTTATGGGCCTGACGTGTTGGCATAGAAGAAAATATAGCTTCTTCTTCGCTATCTTCAAATTGATATTGAGAAGGAATTGGCTGTGCTGAAGAGAGCTTGAATTTAGATTTGGCAGTAGAATAAGCAGATGATTCCTCAGAAACAATTCTCTCATATCTGGGTGTAACACTATTAGATCGTATCAGAAGCGGTGAGCTATTACAATGCAGTCGAAATGGAGATGACATTATATTTTTACTCCCAGGAGCTCTCTTTGTCGGAGTCTTAAATAATTCTGAATCTTTCATAGGGGACGATATTATGACCTCTTCCTCTTCATTATGAGACATAGGGTCCCCTTCAGTTATTAACTTTGTTTTACCTCTATTTATTGAACTGGAGGATATTTCGATCGGTGTTTCTTGCGTGCCATGTATTGCTTGAGGCTGTCTACGTGCAGTTTGGGATATTTGAAAATTATCTTCTGATACTTCAACTAGATCTCCTGTTATCGATTCTCTCTGCCGCGGTTGAACAAATGGAAAGCTATCAATTGACACAGCGGTTTCTACTGAGTCCTTTTGATGAGAGAAAAATTCGTTGCCATTAAACTCGGGATCATAGATCGAATTTTTGACCTGAATCTTTTGATCCGTTAGATGGAGAGCTTTATCAGATTGCTCACCACTACGGCTTAAGCTTACCCGTATAGGACTGGGCTCAGGCGACGAATCCAGAACTACATCAAATTCACTGTCATGAGTATCCTCAGATTTTGTGGTATTCATTACTTGCGATAATGTCATTACAAAGGGGCTTTCGTTATCTGACTCTTCTAAATCATTTTGCAATATCGTACTCTCATTAATTATTTGTTCAGAAGTCAAATCATACAACCATTTCAAGTCTTCATCCGAAAACTCCGTATCTGGAGGTGCAGATGCTTGCGACCATATGCTACTATTATTTTTTGGATACTCTGATATTAACTGCGATTGGTTTTGGATTTGAATTTTATGGGTGATATATTTAAGACTCTTCTTGGTCCTGGATGACAATTCTGGAAATCGTAACCTGATTCTTTTAATAATGTCAGTCCATTCTTTCTTGGTGTACAATATTCTTGATTCATGTTCTGTTTCAGGAAGATCAGACAGTTCTAATTTCCTCTTTTCGATACTTTCTATTCTCTTCAAAATATCTCCAATCTTTTCCTTGTGGCCTGAAAAATATTGAAATATTGATAGCTGAACATCTTTTTGCCCCAGCTTCTGATTAAGCTCCTGAAACGATTTCCCTTTATTATACGTCTCTTCCATTAACGAAGTCAAACTTTTAATTCGATTTTTATCTTTTTTAGGTCTTCGTTTAGGTTTAGTGATAGACGTATCTTTGTTTTTACTTTCTAAATTTCCATTCTGAAGACCACGCGTGTGATTTGGGATTGTATCCATATTCTTAAACTTCCTCAAGCGTTCAATCCTTTTCTTCATATTCTCTTCTTCTTTACTTACTTCATCAAATTCCTCCAATCTTCCTTGCATTTGGGTAGAAGCGAAATTGATATCACCAATACTGTCTTCGGTTAATCGAGACATTTTGATATTATGCAAGTGTAGACATAAGTATTTTAACTAGTACTGTTAGATTTAGTAAGTCTGTGAGATAGAGATAAGGTGATCTATATGCGTTAAATATATGATTTATTGACATTATTTACTACACAAATAAAACGCGAAATTTTTGAAAATGCCTATTTTTCCAACCCAATGCTTAACCTTTCCTTCAATTCAGGCTTTACAATCCAATTTCCACTTTTCTTATTATAAAAGGCTATGTCTTGGATCGTATGTTTTAATAATGCCTTAGTAAAAGTCTTGAATTCCTTTTTAGACAATTCCACCAATGTACCAATAGTGAAGTCATTATTCTTTTCAATAAACTGAATTAGTTCATGAATAGCTTTTGGATCTTTAATCGTTGGCTTTTGTGCAGTCAATATATTAGGCAATCTGTTGGTATTCTTACTTGGACTTGTTCCTTGATTTTTCAGCAGGTTGAGGGAGGTAGTATGTTCCGTAGTCTGAGAGTTAACAACTTTCTCTTTGCTCACTTCCCAATAATTAGTGAAAGGATCTATCGAGAAGTCAATATTTATATCCAATCTTTCGTACTTTATTTCATTAAAGAATTCGTGGTCATTCTTATCATCATTATTCCATTTACTTATTGCCACTAATGGACCCATTATTCTCTTTTTCTTTTTCATTAAATCATTACTCTCTACAAAATCATCCATCTCATCTTCATCGTCTATATCATCATCATCCTCATCCTCATCGTCATTATCAATATCTTCGCCTTCGCCTTCATCTTCTGCATCCTCTCCATTCCATTCCGCATCTGAGTCATAGCTGTAATCTAATCCTGATTTGGTTGTATCAAATGGATTTCGTACTGGTAATTTAGTAGACACATGGTTTGAGGAGCACCATGTTCCAATATAAGGAGGCTTTGTATTTTCGTAGAACTGTAAATACTTCATTGGCAGGAGATTTTGGAACATCTCATAGATCTGTGATTCTGTCGCTTGTGAAGAGTTTAAGGCATTAACAATATCTTGAGGAGTGGTGAAATTCCTTTCTCTAGGTTTCGGCTTGCAAGCTTTAAAAAAACTTGATATATCCGTGTCTTCAGATTTATTGTTTACGGCTCTTACAATCGAGTCAAAATCCGCTATCGATTTCTTTAATCCAGAATCTGATAACTGAATTGATGGAGCCATTTTAACATTTTTCTTTTGAAAAAATGGTAAGAAAACCTTATTGTATATATCGGTTTCTTCCTCCTTTTCTTTACTTTCGTCATTGCTTAGATCTACTATTTGGGTGTCAGTTTTCGGTTCATTTTTTATTGGAGACGACTTGACCGTCTTACCAATAGTGAAGAAATTGGAAATCTTCATTTGACTCCTTTCTTTCGATTCTTCGGCCTTTCTTTTCTCTTCTTCAGCTAGCTTTCTTTCATGGTCCTTGCGCTCCTTAAGCTCTTCATTCTTACGCTTTTTTTCAAGCCTTTGTCTTTCTCTTTCTTCCTTTTCTGCAAGCTTTTTCAATCTCTCTTCCTCTTTCTTTTTTTCTCGTTCTAATTTCTCTTCTTCTAGTTTTTTACGTCTCATTTCTTTCTCCATTTCCTTCTCGTACGCCTTTCGTTTCCTTTCTTCTTCTTTCATTTTACGTTCTTCTTCTTTGCGTATTCTATCTTCCTCCTTTTTCTTCTCTTTCTCAATTCTCTCCATCTCCCTTTGCTTCTGTCTTTCGAATTTCTCTATTTGTTTCTTGGTAAGGGTCTTTGTTGGTGACGCTTCATTCCCTTCCTCAATGGGGGATGGACTTGAATCTAAAGCACCTTCGGGGGTTGATAATCTTTGCTTTTTGGTCTTGGGTGTTTCGACGTCTTTACTTTCATCTTGCTGATTTCTTTTTGGAGGATTTACAACCTCTATAACTGCATGATCTTGTAATACCTTATCGGTCTGATCATCCATTTTATGTGTTGGAGTTAGCGAAGGGGAATTATAAATTGGAAGCAGATTGCTCATTGAAGCAACTATTTCTATATCTTCTCTTATGTCTTATATCTTATACCTAACGATATAATGAAATATCCAAAACTTTGGTGAATTTTTCTGTAGTACGCGTCTGATATCAATAAAAATATTCTTTCGTGATAATCCACAGTTAGTGCACGGAAAAAAACTAGGATATTCCAATGATGACTACTACAAAACTTTTAAACAATCTAATATTAATTTTAATGTATATAGATATAAATTTAATTTACTCATAGCTCCAAGAAATGAAAAAATGTCCCACTAAAAATACAATTGAAAAAAAATGAAATGTAAATGAGCTCTTAAAAGTTCGGTATGTCTAAATGGAAGTATGGAGTATTGGTGCCTACGGCAGCAAAATATTCGTCATTTATACCCGATTCAATGTCTTTTGTTTTAGAAGAAGTAGCAATGTTTACATAAGTAGTATCACTGACTAAACCATCCTCGCTGTATGATCCAAAACCAGCATTCATTAATCCCCTTCTAATCCAGGGAGATAAAATACCTGAAAAATGAAATTCAACTTCTCTATCAGCATATATATTCAAGGCTTTACGCAAATCAACTAAAGCCTGTATACTAGTTACATCAATTGAAGCAACTGTAGAAAAATCGAAATGAACAATCTTCAAGATTGGTCTGTTATCTTCTTGCTGAGTCTCTACCTTAGAATTCTTACTTTTAAAGAATGGAATCTTCCATTGCAATGGGCCTGGGTCATTCCAAGGTCTGGAACCGGCGTCGTTAAAGTCATATGGTTTGCCCCTTCTTGTTATGCGTTTTACCTCATCTGTAACTCTCTCTATTTGAATAGAAGCGTTAGGATATGTGAATGCTTCAACTGGTTTATAAACAATGACTCCTGGTGGTGGAGGCCTGACATGTAAGTCACTATTAATGTTTTCTTTGGTTAATGGAACCCACCTGGTGTGGAATCTAATATTTGGATTGTTGTCGAGCAATTTATGAGTAGATGGGATAGTAGCAAGCGCTTCCTTAGATTTATATTTATTAGATGAGGTTGCTTGGTAATTGGATGTATTGCTCAAAACTTGATGGATTTCAATATCCTTCGAAACATCGGAAGATGAATTGTTATAATTCGCATCGTCGTTAATAGTTGAGGAGCTGTCCGAGTTAGAATTATCAATAATTGGATTGATAACTTCAGCAACTTGAATTCTACCCAAAAAGAAACCTTGAGGTTTGGAAACACGGAATAACAAGACTGCTGCAGAAGCACAAATTGCAAAGTAAACACCATTCTCGATAGATGAGAAGACAGTAATAATAACTGCAATCAAAAAAATTCCACAATCCAAGGGACTAATTCTCCAAAAATTCCAAGTGACTTTGTAATTGGCAATCAAATCAGAAACTGCATGGATAATAACAGCAGACAATACCGCCTTTGGGATATAGTAGAAAGCACTCGTCAAACAGTATAAAGCTAACAAAACAACTGCACCTGTGAATATACCAGCTAAAGGTGTTCTGACACCACACTTGGCTTTTAAAGCAGATCTTGAGAATGAACCAGTGGCAGGATACGCATTAAAGAATGTACCAATTAAATTATTGACCCCGATAGCAATTAATTCTTGATCTGGTACAACCTTATAATCATTAACTCTACCAAATGATTTTGAAATGGCTATATGTTCTAATAATAAGATAATGGTAGAAACTGGAATCTCAGAAGCCATCAGGGAAATAATATTATCTGGAATGGTCATGACACCGACGTGTTGCAACCCAGAAGGAACTTCACCGATAGTACTGATTGGTGGTTTGAAATCCGAAGCAGGGCCATCAAACGCAACCTTCTGAGGATGAACAATACCCCAGGAAATTGCAGTAGCCACAATTAAAACGATGGCATTTCTTAAGTTTTGTGAATAGAAAAACCAAAGCTTGTATCTTGGCCATCTTTTCATTGCAATTTCAGTCAGAAATTTCCAAACATACAATATAAACAAACAAACCAAACCGAATGCCGCATCCACTGTTGTGTTTGGCAAGTTCTTTAATGTATTAATGACCACCATATATGAGGCATCTCTAGTATTGACTAACTTGTTATATCCCATCAACCCTGGAACTTGTCCAACAATAATATTGAAGGCTGATCCGGACATGAAACCCATGACCGCTGGAATAGAAATAAACTCCAAGATAAATCCCAATCTTAAAAGACCAATACCAGTAGCGATACCACCACAAATTAAGGACAAAAATGTCGCTATTTCCGCCGGGTCATATTTATCTTCACCTACTTTTGCTTGAACATGCTGTATCACCTTACCGACTTGCATCGACATGACAGCAACCGGTCCAATAGAAACATCTTTTGAGGTGGCAAAGAAGGAATATATGAAGACACCAACGAATGATGAATACAACCCGTATTCTGCTGGTAAACCCGCTAACTGGGCATATGACATCGATTGTGGAACTAAAACAACACCAACAGTGATACCTGCAATGAGATCACCGTAGAGCCATTTTCTATTATAATGCAATATCCATCCGGCAATTGGAAATAATGAAACGAGATAGTTTGTTGCCTTTTGTAATGGACTACCAAATACCTCTTGGCCCCAGTCCACCACTGTCACTTCTCTTTCATTATACAGAGGCACTAAAACATTGCTATTCTTTATTTCGTATTCGTCGTTAGCGTAGTCGAAATCATGCTCTTGTGCTTCAGGATTAAACTCCTGTATTTCTGGTACTTGTGATTCATGAACCGACATTACTAATGCAATCTGTAGTACAAATGATATATGCAATAAAACCTAGTCAAACTAAATGCAAAGGACCGTCTTATTCTTTATAATACTTTCAAATCTAATCGTCGACGATAATTTACAATAAAATTTCCAATTCGTTATTCGAAATCACTTCATAGACGTAGGTGTGGCTATTCAGCAACTGCTTACTTAGCTGCAATTTTGTCACGATACTTGACTGTGGAAAACCACAGTTGTTCAAAGTCACGTGTCGCCTCCTTCAGACTTTATCATACCTAACCAAAGTCTAATTTGTTGAATTCTGCTATATACTTCGAGGATATTAACTAAATCAATGGCATCTACAATATTTATTATTATCAGGTTGAAGCCTTTCAATGTGAATGAGCCAGAACTATTTATTGTTGGAGGGCCTTCTATCGGATGGAAAAGAACAGAAATCTGTTGATGCGATTGCAACCATTCACGTGAAAAAACCTAAAATGTGCAAAGAACGATTACGTAATGCTTCTATCTTAATCATGATACACAAAATACACAATTTGAAATCAGTTAAACTTCGAGGTATGGACGCCACGAATGTAATTCTATTAGCCTGCCACATGCATGTAAGGCTGTAGCATATGCTCTTGTAGCGACGTAAATCGACATAGTGATAAGTCGTATATATTTCGTGATTGTGTGTAAGAATAGCTAATATATTGAGGAGATACTCTATAGAGATCATACATAGAACATGTGTCAAAAAGGGTAATCCGGATAGGCTGGAAGAACCACTCTAATGAATCTAATTAATCTTTAATGATTTTAAGTTTTCCTGTTCCACTAAATCCACCATGTTTCTGAATTCTTGTTGTTTGTAACATTGTTCCAAGAAAATCTTGTACTTCGCATTTAACAACCTACGGTCAGGGTGGTTCTCCTTAGAAGGAAAAATTACTCTACCAGGACCAGTCATCTTTTCCATAACTTTCCATAATTTGTCGCCAGGTTGTGATTCACCGATCGACTTCTTCTTATCGAGGGTTGATAATGGCTTCAAACCTAACTTATTCAATTTTTGAGATAAACCTTGTTGAACATTTTGCTTCGAGCCAAATGATAAGGTTTGTTCTTCTTCTGAATCATCTTCATCTTCGGAGAGTGCCTTTGCTGGTTTTTGCGAAGCTTGGTTGAAGTAATCAACGCCTTCTTCCTGGGTTGGTTCCAAGTGTTGACTGCCTGGGTTAGCGTTAGCATAAGCTAAAGCTGCTATGTTTGCCGTCGATGCTGTTGCGGTTGGTGCTGTGTAAGGAGATGGAGGACCGTCACCACCAGCTAAATTACTTTGGGACTTTTGGGTGGATAAGACCGAAGATCTTCTCGATTTACCTCTTGTAGCAAGATGTTCACGAACTGCATCTTCAGATGCGACAGCACCTAATAATGCAGAACCAAAAACAACAGCAGCATCAATGTAACGAGGAATGATAATTGCCAAGCCAGTACAATCAGCCAATAATCTCATCAATAAACCGTTACGACATTGACCACCACTCATGAAAATACAACTGATATCATGACCGGATTTCCCCATTTCTTCCACAATTTGTCTAGTTTGTTGAGCGATAAATTCACAGGCACCGAAATATTGGATAGCCAAATCATTGACTGATGTGTCCATCGATTGACCAATAATTGAAGCCTTCATTCTTGGGTCGGCAATTGGTGATCTATTACCATGGAAATCACCATAGAAAAACATATGCTTAGCCAAACTGACGACTGATCTACTCTCATTTTCATTAACCAAGTTTTCTAAAGTTGAATTCAAATAGTCAAACTTAGAAATGTTAGAGGCATCTGCCAAGTGGGCCAATTCTGAATGGGCAGGGTGATTTGACAAAACATGTGCCAACAATGCACCGGTACATGATTGTCCACCTTCAGCCAACCAGTATCCAGGAGCCATAACATCTTTATAAGGACCCCAAACACCTTGAACAAAGCATGGTTCCTTAGTCATGGCAATATGACAAGTTGAAGTACCAGCAACAGCTGCTAATCTACCACATGAAGTTGCGATTGAGGTTTCACCTTGTTCGTGTAAATGTGGTACATCAACTTTGGCGGCAACAGTACCAATCCAGCCCGCATAAGCATCGATAACACCACTACCAACAACACATTCGGTGGTTAAGCCTAATTCTTCTGCAGCCTTGGTACTCAATTTTCCAACAATATCACCGGCACTTAAATAAGTACCATTCTTGTCTGGAACACCTCCTAATCTACGGAAGTTATCTTCGACCAATTCATCCAAGTCAACCGAACGTAAAAATTCCTCGGACCAACCCGTGGTAGAGTTATCAACTCCTAATGGAACGAATCCTTGCTTACAGACAACAGAACAGAATGATCTGGCTTCAGAGCCGGTAGCCTTATGGGTCAAAAAATCTGCCAAATCGTAGAATTTGCAATCCTCGATTCCTCCAGGTAAGTTGTGCTTCAACCACTTCATTTTTGGCAATTCCATCTCAATGGACATTTGTCCCCCGACATACTTCAAGCACTTGTCTCCGGTAGCATTGATAATATTGGTTTCTTCAACCGCCCTATGGTCCATCCATAAAATGATGTTCTCCTTGTGGTCGCTGAAATCTGGACCAACACCAACAGGCTGGTCTGTCGACTCACGAATCGCAACCAACGAACATGTAGCATCAAAACCTACACCAAAAACCTCGCTTGGGTCTACTCCGGACTCTCTGATACAATTTTTGACACAGTAGCAAATCGAGTTCCAGATCTCTGTCGACGATTGAGTGATGTAATTAGGCTTCAATTCGTGTCTAGTGATTGGTCTTTCACTCAATCCAAGAATTATACCATTGGTGTCAATAATACACGCTCTGGCCGACCCGGTACCAACATCAACTCCGACGTAGTAAACGTCTGGTTGTGGTGGCGGTTGATTGAAAAAGATAGATGATTTACGGGATGCAAGGCTAGTGTGAGACTTTGATTGTGGTGGCATTTTGAATTTATTTATTACTTTAAATCTGTATTAAACAACGAATTCTAATTATACTAACCAGTTGTTGAAAATTAAAAGAATTATGTGGTTATCCTGATATTTTATATAACTATTTTTATCTTACCGGTAATTTGATCATCGCTAAGCAATTATAACGTATCAAGCGTAGGCAGTATTGCTTCAGAGGGGGTGTGCATTACCTGCATACAACCGATCAATCTCATATTTCACTAAATTTCATTATATTCAATAGGCACATATAGACCTTGATGTTAAAATACATATACTATACAAGGGTAGGTTGTCACAAGTGCCGTACAGACACTCAAAACGGTGAATGTAGGAAGTAGCTTTGCAGCGTCGGCCCTGACGAGTACAATAGGTACAGAGAATCTAGTTCTCAGCAGGAGGATATTTATCGACAGTATCCACCAAAAAGTCGAATTGTTCCGTATTTTCCACCGCCGATCTTATATGCGACGCTCCGATTCTTCTGACGCCCGCCTTTTTGGCTTCGATGATCGATGCCTCCACAAGATTGGCCATGAAAATTTCCAATGCTCTACCTACAATCACCGGCGTAGCCTGGGCTACCTTACCTATATCTTCGTCTGACTGCATAATTTTCTTGATTCTGGCAGCAGGAAAGTGGGTTTTAATTTTCTCGAAACTTTCCAATATCACTGCTTGGGGTACCTTGCCGTCGTTAGTGGTGGTGTCGCTGCCATTGGCTTCTTCCGGTGTTTCTATGCCCGAAGAATTGGTCAACGATGGAGGGTTAATAAGACTTTGTATATCTGACATAATATATTATGTAACGCGTAGTGTAATTTTTTTCTGTCCCTTTTGTAAAACTTGACGGAATTGATACGGTTTAAATATACGATGATAAAAAAACACCCGAATGGGTAGTGTACGTGTTCAATTGGTCCTGACCGCGAAATAGGCCAACGAGCAACCAGGAAAAGCGCGCGCAATCTTCACAGCAAAAATATAGCAAAAAATGATGCCTTCAGCCAGATTCGAACTGACGATCTCCTCATTACTAGTGAGGTGCCTTACCAACTTGGCCATAAAGGCGTACTTTCTAGTCGCTAGTATGGCGAAGTACTAAGAGACTACAGAAGAAGACATGTTGCGAATTTAAACTTGGTGGTGAACTAGCACCGGGTGTTGGCATTATGCTCTATTCAAGAAGGGCGATAGATTCAATCTCTGTTTCGACTTGGAATCCATCTTCTATATAGTATTTCCGTTATTTTGTAAAGCTTGAATATATTATACAATTTTTCGTTGGCGGATGAATAGGATGAGTTGACAACCGCATCGAATTCTTCGGCCGTAGGACCATCAATAAATGTTAATACAAGGTTTTTTTTGACACCACCTATGACCCGCGATATAGACGAGATACTGGACCAGTCGTGGTGGCTTTCCGACATTATTAGGATCGCATGTTCGGCGTGGCTAAAGGGTGGGCCCCTTTTGTAGAGCAACATGTCGCAACCGAACTTTATTCCAGACCTCACACACCAACCCAAAGACCTGTAATGGTGGTAGACGACGTATTCGAGAATAAACGGGTTATTTGGCGAGATATCGAGTTCACAACATTCGGAAAAAAGTTGCGGGAGCGACAAATCAATGTTGATGACATTGAGGGCGAAACGTAAGAAAAACACCTCAGTTTTCTGCAACTGCAAATATTCGAGGTCCAATAGGGTGCCATCGTGAATGATGTTCTGGTCCTCGATCCTGAGGGCCTCCAACTGAGACAACGCCTGGTTGTAGTTGGGGTTTTCGAGCCTCAGGGCGTTCAAACTTTGACGCACTTCTTCCAATGTTTGCAACTCGGCAATGGAAATGTTATTTTGTCGTTGTTTTAGCTCCATTTCCTGCAATTTGCTTCTTTCTGTCTTGAACTTCTTTCTCTCTTCTCTTCTCATTCTTGTTATCTCTTCACTCGTGATATCCAAGTCTTCATCGAGGTTCAATCTCCTGCTAGTCCTAGTCTTCCACGACGGATCTGACCTAGACAATGTTCCTTTGCCAAAAAATCCTTGTTTCCATAAGTTTCGCATATCCTCCTCATCAGTAACTTTAAACACGCCGTCTTCATAGACCACCTTAAATGGTTTGACACTCAATTGAGGTACCATTCTGGCCTGTATATTCAAATACTGATATGCAAAACATATCCACGACACTGGGTTGTGCGGGTATATCTGAGGTAACCTCCCATACTCATCGGTAGACAATATTATGGGCAAAGCATTGGCATATATTTGATTGTTATTTACTCTGTTTCGTTTTCCCATTTCTATTCCTGTTAGTAAACATCATTCGTATTAATTTGGCATTAACCTTGAGATGGACATTTATGTATCAGATACCGTTGTAGTCTATTGAGAAATCATGTGCTCACATCGATCCGAAGAACTTAAAGACACTGTAATCAAGTTATCATCATAAAATAATGTTCAAAATTTAAATAGGTGCAAACATACTATTTCGATATTATTCAAATAAATGGGCAGTAACCAGACTATTCCATCATTGATTGAAATCTGTAAGAAATTGGTCCTATAAAAAACTTAATACTATTTTGGGAGTAAAAATTTTTTTGGATTTTAAACTAAATTCTATCACGTCCGGGTAATAGCATTATTCTCTTTAGGGCTAATGAAATTGTTCCGGAATTAACAAAACAAATAGATATTCTATATGGAGGTCCTATGGGGTCCATATTGGTTGGGAGGTCATAGTGTGACATTAAAGAAAAAGAAAGAGTCAAACTAGACTAAAGAGATTTCCATAAATGCAAAAAATTAAAAAGAAATATGCCGGTCCCAGGAATCGAACTTGGGTTTCATCGGCCACAACGATGTGTACTGACCACTATACTAGACCGGCTCTTTCATGTGTTTTCGGATTTGAAGCAGTAGGCATTACTAGCACTTGTTAATATATCTTTGGTTCTCAAACGACTGTCTTATAATCAATATGAAATCCTTATCTCTTAGCAGTAGAATAGCACTAACCAAGTAATGATAAAATGCACGATAAATCATTTCATTGCCAGAAGTGTAATGGAAGGGTCAAACTTGATCCCTCATTAATGAAGCTTAATCTGGCCCAGGTCAATCTATTGGTAAATAAAAATAATAATGAAGCTTACAATGATGATGATATGGTAAAACTTGATCCAGCAGACTTTATACCTAAGGAAAGATTAGCCTTGTATGATGAAGTTAATAATAACGGGCAAACACCAATTCATTATAGAAATTTGATTGACAATAATGAGCAGGACAAGGAGAGTAGTTTTAATTCCAATATATTTGGAATGCACAACACTGAAGATAACGAGAAAGAAAACGATTCTTCCCAAGAAAACGATGACGATCATTATATCATTATATCATCTAGAATTAATACGTTAAAGAAGGTATTTGGAATTCTTTCTTCGAATCAAGAAATTGATCACCCTTTATGCATTGATTGTTCCAACTTATTATTAGCAAACTTTAAATTGAAATTCGATCAAAATCAAAGAGAGAAAGAGTACTACATGTCATTTTTAAGAAAATTAAAGGAAAAGGATAGCAACGAAATAGACAATAATGATTTAGATTCAAAATTTAATGAGTCTATAGATGGTTTTGAGCAGCAATCCCAGCAAAAACAAGAGAAATTGCAAAAACTCAAACAACTCGAAGAAAATAAAAGCGAACTAGAGAAGCAATTAAATGACTTGAAGGGTCAATTGAATAAGCTTAATGAAAGCGAAATGAATGATGTTCTTAAATTAAGGAATAATTTACTGCTAGAATTGAAACTGAAATTAAACAAACTCGAGCAATCTAAATCCTTGTACCAGTCACACTTAAACCATTTAGACAATCTAAGGAATTTGAATATATATAACAAATTCTTCCAGATATCGTTTGATGATAAGGATACCTACGGTACCATCAATGGCTTTAGATTAGGTTACAAAGTTCCGTGGTCTGAAATTAACGCAGCCTTAGGTCAAATTGTACTCCTATTTATCTTTTTAATTAGACGATTAGATTTCAAGTTGAAGAATTATAAATTGATACCGATGGGATCTCAGTCTCAAATCATTAAAATATCTAAGAATAATTCATCAACCGACCAACCTCACAAGACAATTCTCAATTTATACTCCACAAATGATTTCTCATTGGGAAAGCTATTTAATTTTAATAAATTAGATGTTGCCATGATTGCGTTACTAGATATTTTATCTCAGATAGAGTCTAAATTACTGACTATTGATGAAGAAATGGAGTTACCTTATACAATATCTTCTAAACGTGATTCTATTGGTGGGAAAAGCATAAGAATCACCTCTAACACTGAATGGACGCTTGGATGTAAATTCTTACTCACTAATATAAATTGGATTTTAACTTATACAAGTGTTCACACCAAACCTTCCGTTGTTTAATAGTTTATATATGTTATATATAACTTTTTTTAAATCAATGCACATTTTATATATTTAATTGCGAAATCCAAAACTTTTCTGATTTCCCGCTACATTGTGAGAAAGGGTTGCAAATAACTTCTACTATTTTTATTTGAAGAAATATTGTAACAATTAAACATGTCCTCAAAGGTATATGGTTCTGAAGACAATGCAAACTTTGGGCTTGACCTTACCCCTGGGAACAAATGTTTGCTGGCAAGTGTTCCCGGAATAACACCAGACAAACTAAACAAGGAAAATCTAGAACAGTTATTGGGCAACTACACCCCAGTTATAACAGTATCGTCATCTTCAGCTAGTGAATTAAGATCTTCGAAATTCATGAATCCTTTTAACTATACTAATTCTTCTGAACCAAGAAATTCCAAAATAATGAATAATGATGGGTTGCAAAGTTCGAACTCGTCCAATTTGCAGTATTTACTACCTCCTATTTCATTCAACGATAACAATCGTGGTAAACACGAGACGGAAGAAGTAGAATTTTTGGATAAAAACAATCACTTACTTTTTCGTGGAATGAAATATGTTCTTCAATCTTCCAGGAATTTGCCTCACAACGGCGACAATATCTTGGTTAGTTCTCCAATTACTCAGAACCAAGACGTGGTAATAGATAAGGACCTATTAACGTCAGAAGCCGACAACTATAATGACCATTTATATCCGTGGATTCCTAGACAAGAATCAGAAGGATGCGACTCATTCGTAGAAAGCACTCTAATAAGACAACATGAAGAAACTAGCCCAAAAAAGCTTTCATTTATCGAAAAAGACAAATTTACACAAGAAACTGGTATGCAAGAGCCTGTTCCAGATTATAAATTAGAATCCGATACACATGAAATAAGTACTCAAAAAAAGAGACTAACGAGGAAAAGAAAACGCAGAAGTAATATCACGAAAACATTACCACTTACAATTCTGATTAAGCCTGAGCACCTCCGCAAGGAGATGAACAAACTGTTGAAGAAAAAGCCTGATAAGGAAGTATATGACACGGCTTTGAATTCTGGAGGTTTTCTAGATCAGGACAATACGGAGCATACTACCAAAGAGGATGATGAATATTTGCCAGGGTATAAGATAACGAGAAGTAAGAGTCGGAAAAACAGGATAAGCTTGAACAATTATTCTGACGTCAACGTTCACGATAAAAAAAAGAAAATAGGTCCCAGATCTAAGAGCGGTTGCTGGACATGCAGGGTCAGACACAAGGCTTGTCCCGAAGAAAGACCTACTTGTAGTCAATGTTCAAGATTGAACTTGGATTGCGACTATTCTTCCATAAGGCCAACATACATGGTTGATCCCATCTTACAGTCAAACAAATTGAAAGAAATTAGAAATATCACTTTCAAACAGAAGCGAAACAACTTCACTAAAGGAGGGATACACGGTTAAATGTTCTAGTTTGCTGCATACATAGGTGACAATAAGGGCCTACAAGCCTTGTAAATAAGGTAACACGTGATGGATTGTTTTTTTTTTGTCGAGATTACAGACGTGAAGATCTACCGAAAATATTAGGAAAAGCGCCTACAGTTAGCAAATATATTTAATCTAAAGGGTTTTATAATTTATGATTAACTATAAACTAGCAGGAGGATGTTATTTATATATAGTTGCTTGATATTCGTCACCTATTTCTTAGGCATATCCGAGGCGTTTTACTTGCCCGGTGTTGCGCCAACAAATTATAAGAAGGGTGATACAATTCCATTATTAGTTAACCATTTGGCACCAACGCTTCGTCATAAAACGAGTAAAGGAAATGGCAACTTTGATATGAAAACATATATATATTCTTATGATTATTATTATCCAAAGTTCCATTTCTGCGCACCAGAAGGAGGTCCTAAAAAGCAATCAGAATCGTTAGGTTCAATTATATTTGGTGACAGAATCTTCAATTCTCCATTTGAAATAAGCATGTTAGAAGAAACTAAATGTAAAACATTATGTTCATCGCAATATTCCAACACTGATGCTGTTTTTGTTAACAGAAATATTAGAGCTGGTTATAATTATAATTGGATTATCGATGGATTACCAGCTGCGCAGCATGCTTATGATGATAGTACGAAGGACGAATTTTACGGTTCAGGGTTCTCCATAGGTGAAATTGATGAACAACTTCAAGCACATTTATATAACCACTTTGACATTCATATTGAATACCACCAAAGAAGCGAAAACAATTATAGAGTCGTCGGTGTGACCGTTAACCCCTTCTCGTGGGATAGAAGTGGTATAACTGAAACGGATAATAAAGAAAAGATATGTTCGCCGGAATTAAAGATGGTTTCTTTAAAGAAAGGATCGCAGACGAGTGTAATGTTTACTTATTCAGTTTACTTCGAAGAATCTAAAACTCCTTGGGCCACTAGATGGGATAAATACTTACACGTATATGATCCAAAGATCCAATGGTTTTCTTTGATTAATTTCTCATTGATTGTAATCATTTTAGGTATAATCATTGCTCATATTTTGATGAGAACTTTGAAAAATGATATTATCAAATATAATGAAGTTAACTTGGATGATGATATTTCCGATGAAAGTGGATGGAAGTTGGTTCATGCAGATGTGTTTAGACCTCCTCAACATAAATTATTATTGTCGGTCTTGCTTGGTAGTGGTGTTCAAATCTTTTTGATGGCACTTATTACTATCATATTTGCATTATTTGGTTTGTTGTCTCCATCAAATAGAGGTGCATTATCAACATTTATGTTCATTTTGTACATTTTACTCAGTGTAATTTCTTCCTTTGTCTCCAGCTATCTTTATAGATTTTTTGGAGGTGAAAATTGGAAATTGAATATGATTTTGACACCAACCTTAGTTCCAGGTGTTTTGTTCGCCATATTCCTTTTATTGAACTTCTTCTTGATTTATGTTGAATCTTCAGGTGCAATTCCTATTGGCACAATGTTTGCTATGACAACGATATGGTTTGTGATTTCAATTCCTTTATCGGTTGTTGGATCAATATTAGCGTCTAAGAAGTCCTTGTTAGCCATACCAGTCAGAACTAATCAAATTCCTAGACAAATTCCTCAACAGCCATGGTACTTGAGAAATTTCCCGCTAATGATTATCTCGGGAATATTTCCATTCGGATCAATTGCAGTAGAAATGTATTTCATTTACTCCTCATTATGGTTCAACAGGATATTTTATATGTTTGGATTTTTATTCTTTTGCTTTATCTTAATGATGTTGACATCTGCCTTAATTTCAGTCTTAATGGTTTATTATACATTATGTTCTGAGAATTATAAATGGCATTGGAAATCCCTTTTTATTGGTGGAGGTTGTTCGATTTATGTCTTCTTACATTCATTGTTTTTGATAAGTGGTTATAAATTAGAAGGTGTATCGTCGGTTGTATTATACGTGGGTTATTCCGCCGTGACTTCTCTTTTGGTTTTCCTTTGCTGTGGTACTGTTGGATTCGTCAGTAGTTTATTTTTCGTTAGAAAAATTTACGCTCAAATCAAAATTGATTAATTTGATTAATCTTATGCATTTTTATACATAGTACTAATGCTGGGCTTAATTAATTTAGGTAGCAAAAATAAATATTATTAAAGTACATAATGGCTATTTATATAGATAAATGATAATCCTCACCTATTAATACCAACCTTCATTATCTTCTTTATCAATAAAAGGCATGATAGAATTGACAAATTCGTTTTTCCATTGGCTTATATCAGATTCCTTATTCAGTGCTTGGTTTGGCAAATTAAAATTCAAATTGTAATATTCAATTTTATTCTTAATTAGATTCATGGAAAACTGTCCCAAGATAATCGATGGATTATATGACTTATTCAAATTACTGTTTAACAAATTAAATGCAATTGAAAGATCATTATTGATTTTAATCAATTTGTTGATAAGATCAGGATCATTGTTTAATTTGACTAAACTATCTATTATCAATTTGCAAAGCTTAATCAATTTATACGATTGTCCAAACGAAATATTCAAAACAGGTGTGAATAACTCAGAATTATAACTGTTGCTGTTTGTACCAGGACTATTAGTATTAGAATTTTGCGAACTTATCGTAGAAATATAGTTGGCTAAATTAATAATAGTTTGTGATAACTTTTTAACTAATTTGCATAATCGCAAATGATGTTCATGAATTGTATCATTAACTCTATCTTCAATAGATGTTTGATTCAAGACTTGATTAAGCTCATGTAAATATTCAATCAAATCATATTTATCTTTGTTGAAATTGATAAATAAAGATGCAAAATCTTGACATTGATGTAAATCAGCACCATAATTCCAATCTTCTTTATTCCTCTTGAGAGTATATTTCAACCTATCATCTACAACAATTTCATCTCTCGTATTAATCAAACTACTTAAGAGTTTCGAAATCTTGAAATTGAGTATACCTTGATTATCAATACTCATGGGAATCAACTTGGTCAAATTATCATACAAGAAGTCTACCAACTTATTGTTATGAATAGTATTCTGGATCCCAAAACTTAAACAATGAAGGTTATCCATTATTGATAAACAATAATAAAGTTTGGGCAAATATAACTTAATATCATCAGGGGCCAAGTCTTTGATATTGTTCTTAATTAATAGATTGAAATTCTCTAGAACTTTAAAGTCATTCAATATTGATGATGTCAATGAAATACCCAACGAATATGTATCACCATTCAATAAAATAGAATAATTTAGTAGAATCAATGATGAAAAAAATAAGATAAGAATATTATCATTCAACTTTATTCCAAAGTTATTAAATGGATATAATTGCAAAATTCGTAAGATTAGATTAATATTATCGTTGATATTCTGAAATTGGAAATTATTCAAATTTGTTAAGGAACAGTTGAACAATTCCACAATCACTTTAGTTTGATCATTAAGAACTAGGCCTTCTAAAATATTCACTATCAATTTTTGGTCAAATGGTAGGATCGGAAAATTATTATGGAATTTTGTATAGTATATGGATAAGTTTTGCTCAATTGAATTAGCAGGGACTTTGGAATATGTCTGAGGGGCACCGTAGGTGGCACTTTGTGGTAAATTTGGACGATAGATAGGGGATGTAGTAACATGTGGCGCCGTAGAATAATACATATTTTGTGGAGGTGGAGCTTGTTGATCATGGGGAGACATAATCACTTGTTGATGAGGATGAGGTTGTTGAGATAAAACCAAGTTTTTGTTCATCCTGCCATTTAAACTTGATAATGAACTAATCGAGTTTCTAGGTGATAATGATTGAGAAGATTGCCTTGATTGCTTAAATGACCTGATAGAATAAAAATCATCGTCACTATCAGATATCCCCATATCGCTTGAAATTGAGTTCGACGTTTTCAAAGAAGGCAACCTTGATCTTGAGCCATTTGAAGAATTGGACGAAATAGACTCAACAGACAACTTACGATTATGTGCGGAATTGAATGAATTGCTATTATTATTATTATTAGCATTATTGTTACCAGGCATCTCGTAAGGAACTTTCCAAAACGGACCTTGGATTGGGGGACTGTGGGTAGCATGATAATTATTAGAAGGTGTGGTTGAGGTAGTAGTTGAAGTTGACATCTGTTGGTCTACTGCTGGGGGATTCAAAATTCCGTTCAATGGTGAGGATGGGTTCGATCCTTGCTCAATGTTCTTCACCGATGCTACAGCAGGAGGTAAGACGTTAATCTTTGGTTGAGAATAAGCCCCAATTAATGGTGGTAAGATAATAGGTGAGCCAGATTGCGCAGTTCCAGACGTAACAATTGTAGAAGTGGCTGTCGGTGGGGAGGTGGTGGTAGCTCCCGTTACTGAATTTCTCTGCAACGAGTTAGGGTACGGCAATGGCTGGTTCTTGGTTTCCAACGAAAATGACTTCTTTCTCGTGCGCGAAGTGTTTTCTAACTTGTCTTCCAAATCCCTAATGTACCCTTTGGATGGGCCTCTTTTCAAGGGCACCCTCGAAAACGTACACTTTTCGCCATTCTTCACACAATTATTGCATATCTTCGTCACTGTTTGCAATGATGAGCTCAACTCCGCATCACATCTAATTTTCTTCCTTCTGCATGCATCACAAGCTCTCGAAACCTTTGACCGTTTCCGTGGTGCTGAACTATTCTCGTTGGCATTTGTTGTTTCCGGTCCCGTCTCTGTTGTTACATTCGTGTCAGAGCTGTCTTTTGGTGACATATCTCCACTTTCAGGAGATTCATTAGCTCCTGGCATTCTCTGACTATATGAAATAGCTATTATATCGACCAAAAAAAATATTCAATTATTTCCCTAGTAGTGGTATCACTTAAAATCTGAATTTTTCCAATTAAAAATAATACCTATTTACTTCGGTTTTTTCAACTTATGGGAACTATTTAAAGTTGTCTTACTGATATTTGTAACTATTATTGGCTTCGACTCCTTACCAATGGTTAACTTACCAGGACACCTTCTTTTTAGATGTTTAGGTTTCAATTAGCTAGAATATACTCAGATTCAATTGTCGGAAAAACCAATTTTGAAAAGGGCATTAATTATGTCCTCCACAACACACAAAAAAAAAAAGTTTCCGGGGAAATTCTACGGCTTACATAATGCCTTGTTAGTTATGGAAATGACCCGGGGCATTTCGGTGGAGGAGGAGGGGTGCATTGAATTGTTCCGAAGAACCGAGCGAACTTAATGTCATTTTGTTATATAAGCAGACGACAAGTAGTTTTGCACCCACCCGCCGGATATAGGGGAAAGAGAGACAGAGAAAACGATAGGGAAGGAGCTAGAGCGAAACAGAATAGAACAATAGAACAATCTTGGACTAGGGGAATGTATATTAGAATGAGACATGTCAGGGCCTATATATGCTTAAGTTATGAGATTGTTAAACCAAACACAACACGATATCCCACTCACGTACCATGTCCATCCAACTATGGGTCTCGCCTATCTCTCGCCGTTTCCACACCTCATAAAGAAGTTGTTTACCTCTCCAGTAGTTGAAGTAGCCCATTTCCTTCGACGACCACAACAGTTTTATATCGTGATGCAACGTTACATCTATGGCGTCGCTGCCACACACCAATAGGGGCCAAAAGGATGGCTTGAACTCGAACTCGGGAACCTGTCTATTGATGGTGACCAATTCGCGTAGATGGGCGAGAGAATGCTTTATGTATCGCTGGTATTGGTCTGGAGTCGTATCTTGTACGAGACGATAGAAGTAAACCTTGAGTGCATTGTGAAATGCCATAATATGATGAAATAGTGCCTGATGGAACCGCAGAATATACACTCGGTCTACTTCCTTCAAAATCGGGTTGTATTTCTCGTTGTATAATTTCCAATGTACATTCACGTCCCACTCAGAGATCAATTGTTCTACGTCTGCACAGACTTTAAAGAAGTGCCTTGGAAACTCATTTCGAGCTCGGAAGATATTTTTATGGTTGGTTAAATCGACAGCTTTCTTGAAAAGCTTGATCAACGAACGCGGTATACCATACATGAGATATATGGAATCGGTATCAACCCCTGGTGTCGGGATCCACGGCTTTACAGGAAGATCTGGTCCTAATTTCTTTCTCGCAGCTTCTATTAAAGTATGACTTGCACCCAGTTCCTTGTAGTTTTCTTCATCAGCTGGATCAATTGAATACGTGAATACATTAATTGAATGAGTAGACTCGAAGAATACGCTTATAAGTCGAAAGGTGCTGGTAAGATATTTTGATAAATCCAGTAGAGCATCAGTTTCTTTAAACTTGCTTTGTAATATGAATCCTCCAATTGCAAATAGTAATTCATAATTTTCAAATACACTGAAATAATTATCGGCCTGGATTTGCAATATGATACAGAGCAATAACAAATTTTCATACTCAAGAGTGTCGTCATCCATGTTATTGTCGTATTCATCTAGGTGATAATCAAGTAAAGTTATGCTCATCTTTCTCAATTCAATGCTTAACTTAAGATACTCATCCATATGGTATGTTTCATTTTCATTAATTACGGTATTCGATAGCCCGTTGGATATTTGAATTGCTGAAAGACTGAATAAAAGGTATACAATACCGAGCTTAATATGATTCTTTAATTGGGAAATATTGGCATTTTCCTCTGGTTTTATTTTAATGTTCGTCCAAGATGCAAAATTCATGCAAATAAATTCACATATGATATTATTAATAAATGGCATAACTATGGTCTCCCAATAATTATTGGCATATTTTACTCTCACAAAAGACAAGGTAACTTCTTTAAAATTATTTAATAATTCTTTGAATAGACATGTTAATTGTAAATTATTTGAAACAGGTAATTGGTAAAAGAGCCTTCTTAAAATACTCTGATCTGCGAGCCAATCATCTGAATCAATATTCGGAAAGAATTTAGGATACAATATATGTAGCATATTCTGTTCATTCAACTTATAGTCTATTCCTTTAATGGCTAGTGTTGTTAACTTAGCAGAGTCTAACAATTCATAATGAACCCATGAATTATTAGTCTTAGAAAAAATAGATCCTTCAATTTCATTACGCCAGTTATCATCAGTACCCTTACTACCATTGTGGTTATTAGAAATTTCCTTATTATCATTGGAGTTTTCGCCATCGCTCTCATTGTTGTAATTGTTCTCCCATTCATAGGGTTCTTGGCCCAGTAGCTTTTGCCTTTTCAAGCCTTCTATGCTGTATACACTAAATGGTCCAACTCTGCAATTCGGACTTTTATTTTGTTGCGAAATGATCTCCAATCTGTTTAAACTATTGCTCACTTCTTTAAAGGTTTCATACAGCAGCGAGTTTGAAAACCTAACAAAATCAATATTTCGTCTCTGAAAAGTAGATTCTGAAGTTCCATCATTTTCCTCTGAATCAAGACAAATCAATGCATTATTATCCGTAGAAATAGTTAGGGGATTTGACCATCCCAACTTGATATTATAACCAGCACAATCAATACCGGCCTTAATACACCTCTGACACTTCGGTCTCCGCAAATCACACTTAACTTTTCTAGATCTACAAGTCCAACAACCATCAAAGTTTCGACTCTTTCGTACCATATATTATATGTTTAATGAAATTCAATTCGACCTTGTGTTTTCTTGTATATCTAGTAAAAGCCTTATCTTTTGTCCTGAAAAATTGAAAAAAAAAATCTACGAAATTTATCACAAAATTCAAGTAAAAAGCTATGATTTTTTTTTCATGACTGACAAGAGAGTATAAATGGTAGATAACCTAATTAACATTGAAATTTCTAAGGAATTCGATCCACAGATCCCAAGGATTTTACCTCATGAAAGGATATATTCAATTCAAGTTGGATACAAGTTATTCAAGTTAAGTGGTGCATCGTTATCGTCAGATGCACCATCATATTTTACGAGATTCTTCTTACAAGAGGAAAATAATGATAAAGTTCTATTTATTGATAGAAATCCATTAACTTTCGAAAAGATATATCAGCACCTACAAGGGTATCAAATAAACGTTGAGAATGAGTATGAATTTGTATATTTATTGCTGGATTGTTATTATTTTGGATTGAAAAGACTACAACAAATTTTAAAAGATGAAGATATATTTGCTACTATCGGTAGTAAGTCTTTCAAAATTTCAAAGAGTTTGTTAGTTAATAGTGGAAATTACCCAAATTTCTTCAGTATTAGTTACGAAAGCATGCTTACGGATAACTCAAACATAATAGAACAAAGAAATATAATTAGACCTCCGCCCCAAAAGCCGGCTACGGTTAGTTCCAGATCCCCTGAACTCTTCAATGACCTTTTAGAATTGCTACGGGGTAATTCTCAAGTTATCAAGAATGATGAACATAGGCACTTATTAATTAGAGAATGTAAATATTATCGCTTCCTAGAATTGGAACAAAGAATCATTAAGTACAAAGTAATTAATAACCCGTTTAGTGACTCTGGAAATCAAGACATTATAATCAGACTAAATGATCTACACATCAAAGGGATAATAAGTGACCCATCTATTAAAAATATGAATGGCAGATCTCCTATTCAATATCAAAGACCCTTTATATCAAAAGAACCGAGGAGAACACTAATATTTCAATTAGATTCCAGCTATTCTGAAATCTCCAACACGAAATATTCCGAAGTTAAGCTTATTTTAGTTAAAAAATTCAATATAATTATGGTTCAATTGACGAATTCATTGTGCCTAAAATTTGTACTGTTGTTCAGGGCAGTGGCTGAAGAGTTTTTAGTAGAGGATTTAGATTCTGACATACCTTCAATTTGTATTTTTACAGATATTAGTGACTGTAAGACGATAATAAATGGAATGGAAATGAAAAGAAATTGGGTATCTGAAATGTTGCAAAATATTTCGTCATCATCTGAATCTGAGGAATTGACTATAGATTCGCTGAGTACAAAGAAAAGGAAACTATCTAATGAAATAAAAGGGGACAGAATCGAGTTTAAATTAACTAAATCATTATGGAAACTCTTTTTAACAGGAAAGAAACCAAACTTACAAGGAGTCTCTATCGAAGGTGTGACTGACGAAAAATCGTTTAGAGAACATAACATGGGCTTTTTGTAAATGATCTATTCCCGTTATATTTAATATATAAAATAGAAATTCTAGACTAAGCTAAACCTCTAAGCTAAACCTCTAAGCCAACAAGTGACTTACGACGAATAGTATATTGCTCGTTGGCATAATAATATTCGTGAACAACCACTCTAAATTCGTCAGTCTCAGGATTATAATGATCTATTTCAAATGACGATAAATCTTTCACCACTATATCTGCTCCCGATTCCCAAACCTTTTGAGGGTCATAGGTTGAACATATACCAACAATCATCGCTCCTGCACTCTTACCAGCCTTGATACCTGCAGGGGCATCTTCAAAAACGACGACCTTCTTATGGGGTGCATCATATCCTAGATTTTCTCTGGCCGATTGGTATCCTTGTGGATGAGGTTTCCCTTGCGTCACTTTTTCAGCTGTGATAAAACAATCAGGCTTCTCAATTGTTAATAATTTCAACCATTTAGAAGCCAATGGCAAAGTACCGGAGGTAATAATCGCCCATCTTTGATGCTTATTGTCAGTTTGGGTCCGTGATATTTCATCGAACCTTTTAACTAGCTCAACTGCCCCTGGGATGGGTTTTGCAAATTGACCGAATGATTCAGGAATAGATGCTTCCCATTCCGTAACCTGTTTTTCTACTGCATCGTCTGGTGACCACTTAGCAATGACATCAAAGGTTCTACAACCGTGTGATGTTTTAATGATCTCATCAGCATCAACATGTGGTCTAGTTTCTGCAAACCCCTTCCAAAATTCAGAAATTGCTCCTGTAGAATTAACTAATGTACCATCGCAGTCAAATAATGCTGCATTAACATAGAATACTGCTGGAATTTTATTAGCTGGTTTCAAAGACATGATAGAAAAATTGCTTCAGAGTTCTCTGTGAATAAATTTTGAATAATTAGCTGCACTATATATACCCGAATCAAATACTTAGTCATACCATGGGACTTCCTGCGTAATTCAACTCTGAATGATAGGTCTATTCAGGCCCCTTGTTTCACGGTACTATTAATTGCTGCGAATTTACTATGATCGGACTACTGGAAGTTCGGAATCCGAACATGAACACTTTCATAGCGTTCATAGTCAACAATTGGCAGTGACTTGGTTATTACCCTGCATCCAATTACCATTCATGAATTACCAGTGACCATATGTAGTATTCTGCTATGGAACAAATACAGGATACAGAGAATACGGAAAAGTCGTTATTGTCCCTTGAGAAAATAAATTCCAGGAGTATTGTTAGGACTTTTGGGAACAGTGTTCCGTGATTACGAAAGTCATACAAGTAGCAATTCAACCTCTTAATTATCGCCAATTGCTAGTATAGTAACTGACTTTCATGGTGGTCCTTATCGACATTCCACTGCTACCATGCTACTACAGTACTACATATAAGTGCTGTGAGGACAGTGGAATCGGATAATCGACACCGGCATATTCCTTAGAGGCTAGAATTAATGATGTTAGTATTACTGCCGACTTTCGAATTCTAGGAAATTAACTGAGTGTGAGATGGTTCTATAAGTAGCATGTAGAACATTTCACTTAACCAGCAGTCAAGCCAATTAATACCAGCGCCCAATTGATAAATTCTCGATTAAATATTTTGCAGTATGCTTTATTGAACATCACTGTAGGTCAATTAACACAAAATCTATGTAGATCTAATGAAGGATATATATTTAGAACGATATGATAGATACTAGCCATAATACTATAGTTATAGGTCCTCTGAGATTAGCAACATGTAAATAATGATAAACTGCAAATGGCGATTACATAATCCCAAAGCTTCATAATTTCCTCTATTAACGACAAATGATATTATCCAACAGAGATATCAGCTAGACAATTATATCAATAAAACTACTTATATAACGATGGCAGTTGGCAAGACACTCGTGTTAGCCTCCCTCTTAACCGTTGGAGGTTATATGTTATTTAATAATTCTGGGGAATCGTTCAATGTAGGAGAGTTTTTAGAATCAACGTCTCCTTATATGTGGGCGAATTTAGGTATCGCTAGTTGCATTGGGTTTTCAGTTGTTGGCGCTGCATGGGGTATTTTTATTACTGGGTCGTCTATTATCGGTGCAGGTGTCAAGACTCCAAGAATTACGACTAAAAATTTAATTTCCATTATTTTCTGTGAAGTTGTGGCCATTTATGGCTTGATTATGGCAATTGTTTTCTCATCTAAGTTAACTAACGTTCCGCAGACAGACTTATTTACCAAGGAAAACTTATATACTGGGTACTCTTTGTTTTGGGCAGGTTTGACTGTTGGTATTTCCAATTTAATTTGTGGTTTAGCAGTTGGTGTGACTGGTTCCACAGCAGCTATAAGTGACGCTGCCGATTCATCGCTTTTCGTCAAGATTTTGGTTATTGAAATCTTTGGTTCTGTTTTAGGTTTATTCGGATTAATTGTTGGATTATTAATGGCTGGTAAAGCTCTAGAATTCCAATAAAAAAGTGACCATTTAACTAGAAAACTTACAATTTAACTCTTTTCATGTTAGTCAAGTTTCCATAATATGAAAACATATTTACTTCATTTACTATTTTTTTACCTACCTTCATCAATTAAAACTACTTCAAGATCTAATTAGCTTTTAGTATCATTATAATATAGAGATTTTTACGCATACAAATGTAAGTCAGTCCCTGTGACGTATTAGTATAATTTATTGAAAATGTATAAAATTAATGAAAAAGAGTAAACAAATCTAACTTCAATATGTATTTCCGACTTTTGTTCATCTATTATGTTAATTTTCAACTTCCATATATTCTGGATTTTTCTTTAAAATAACGACCCCTTCTAACGAATTAGTTAAACTTATCCATTCATCAGTATTCTCTAATTCGGCTCTTTCACCGTAATTTAATAATACAGGAGTAGATTGTGTTACCCAACCAGTAATAGTTTTTGGCTTACCTGCTTGACCAACAACATCAACAGCTTGACCAACCCTGACATTAACCTTTATAGGATTTAAGGACTCATCAATCGTTACTAACATTCTTGGTTTCACAGCTGGTGTTAAGTAATATAATAATTCGTGTGTTGTTTCAGAGCTAGAATCATTCAATATGAATGACTTAGGATCTAACAAAGCAACCGAGATAGTTAATAAAGAAGCTAATGAAACTTTAGATAATATCGATCTTTCTGTATTAAATGGAGTTAAAGTTAATGTACCTTTACCCAAATGTAAGATACCCTGAGCAATCCTGACCATGAATAATGAATCAGCAGATTTAATATAGTATGAGGCCAATTGTCTTAACAATTGAGCTAATCTTGCATTATTTGTACCAGCACCAACTAACCCCATAGCATAGATTGCATTTTGAGCAACTTCTAAATCAGGATCGTGAGAATAACGTGATAATGTATCAAACACCTTCATTTGTGGATACGAAGTTGACACGAGACCCATTGCAAGTGGAACTGCCCTACGAATTAATGGATTTCCGTAATGCATTAAATGTGAGAAATGACGGAAGGCCATATCTTGTCCAATATCTTCTCCCATAGCTATGCAAGCAAGACCTAGAACAGCAAAACCTTGGTACAATTCTTCATCTTCTTCGTCATCATCCTCTTCTGGAGTACTTTCAGATTTTTCCTCCTTCTTAGAATCCTTGTCATTAGCATCATTAGTTTTTTCATTGGTAGCATTCTCAGTATCTTCCATCTCAACATCAGCACTTGGATCAGTTTTACCTTGCGCCAGACCTTCTTCTTCTTCCTTCTTTAATTGATCTTCTTCACTTTCTTCCAATTTCTTTTCCTCAGCAAACTTATCCTTAGGTTTAGCGGTACACATTTGTAATAATGATTGAATTTGCAAAACATTACCAGTACCTGCATAGGCACAAATGTTAACTAAAACTTTCAAAGTTTTGCTGATTGGGTGATCGATTGCATCAATAGTTTCCAAAACATCTTCCACTTGTTCAGTCTTACCCATATATAACAAACCTAATCCTAATGACATGAACCTAATGAATTTATTGGTCAATTGAGTGAAATCTCTTTCTAATAAGGTTTGTAAAATTGTAGAAGTTATATCACCATGGCAAGTACCAACAAAGACATGCCCTAAAGCTAAGGCAGCTAAACTTGACACCTCAATGGAGATATCTAAATCTGAAACTAATGGCAATAATAAACTCAAAACCTCTTCATTTGAGGATCCAGCGAAGGCAATACCTAACCCATTGATGGCAGATGTTTGAAAGATTTTCTTTGGATCAGAAACATATTCTTGCAATAAAGCTAATGCTGCTTCAACATCGTCATTAACATTAGCAGAAACTATACCAGTACCCAATAATGCACCTGCTTTGACTTCATCCTCTGAAGAATAAGTATATTTATCCAAATGTTGCAAACCATCATTGATATTCCATTGATGTATAGATCCCAATGATGCTGTGGTAGATATCATGCCATGTCCCTTGGTCTTATAGATCCACGATTTATTATCTTCTTCTGTTTGGATTAATTTATCGCTTCCATGGCCTAAGTTAACAAATGAATTAACGAAAGCAGAAGCTAAATTCTGCTTAGCAGAATCAATCGAACCTGAATTACCTAAACCAAATTTGGAATTTTCTAAATGTGACTTATAGATATCTTCTGGAACTTTTGCATCTAACAAATTTAACTCTTTAACAAGGTATCCATAATACTCGTGCAACTTGGTATTCGAAACACATTCTTGGACTTCATCATTTTCTCCGCCATACTTGAAACTAGAGTTTTGTTGTGATAAGATGAAACCTAATTGTTTATGCATCAATTCATCATCAGTCACTTCAAAGACTTGTCTCATTAATTTCTCATCATCCAATTTAATCGCCAATGTTAAAGCTTGTGTTAATTGATTATGAGATAAGTATATGGCATAGGCGGTGTTTAAGAAAGAAACATCATCTGGGGGTGCCAATAATGGTACACAACTGACCATGTACA